TTTGAAACTTGCCTCTCCAAGAATTTGCTTATTGTGCGAGGAGACAGCTTGTGTTTTGGTTAATGCGATGCTTTTGTGCAAGCCATTACATGCCACAGTAATGGTCTCTTACAGTTGGTTCATTTACAGAGGATTTCTTCGAACCAACATTCAGAGAAAAGTGACCTTTTCAAGGAACGATCATCCTCATCGCCTTTTAGGAACCATTCTGTTTATAGCTTCATTGCCAGTAGACTTTTTTTTTCAAGTCTAGACGTTTGTGGAATTCAGTCTTGTGTGATGTTTAACAAGTCATTCGCACAGACCATAATCTTCGCTTTGTTTATATGCGATTGTAGCAATTGATGTGTTAACAAAAGAAGAATAACCCATTGACAATTGGGTGATTGCACCATACCCTGTACATTATCACCACGATCAGCCATGATGTAGCCACTGCTGGATGAAGTCCTCCCCACAATTGTCGCCACCTCTTACAATCCTGCAACTTCACAATCCGTCTTGCCCCAGCACGTGAGTTCACGTCATCGCTACATCCCTGTGGTGGTCATTGTCTTTGGTGTGTTCTCTCTTTTAGCTTCTATTCCATTACCAGTCTCGTCCACTGGCTACCATCCCTTCTAGCCACGTGGTCTGCTCAAGCCTCGCACTTTAACAAACAACATATCCACACGTTCCTCTTTCTATGACCCAATGTAGTCCCCAGGGTCCATCTCTTAATGCTTTCTTCTGCACTTTTCAACCTTGTTCGTTTGTCAGTGTCTGTGTTACTGATCCATAAGTCATAACAGTTCATATGCAATGATTAACAACTTTCTGGTTCTAAATGCTCTCCCAACTGCTTTTCCTCTTCCTCTTGAATTGGGGATCTGAGTGTGATGGCCCAGATGTCATTCAGTAGCAAGTGACACTTAAATCAGTTCTGCCACCTCTTCGCTTCACCATTGTGCCCTGACTAACGTGGTGAAGTATAGTCAAACAATCTCCGTGCCCAAACATGCTGTGTGGTTATGCCTTCGTCCAGCAGTGGATTGACAAAGGGCTGTGTCTTGTAGTTTGTATATTTTTAACAAGTCTAAAGTGAGGGAGGTCTTTTTTTCAAACTGAAAAGTTTTGTATTCTTGGGTCTTTCGGTAAAGTAAAGAAAATTTGAAAAAAAACCTTTTTTCAAAAAACTTTTTTTCAAATTTTCTTTCCGTGGATTTCACACCTGACGATGATTGCTTGTGTTGCAGTCGAAACGTCGTGATAATTTTTATTGTTTGATATTTATATTATTTTATTATTTCTCTTCTATGTGACTTTGCCGAAAAAATCAAGAATATGAATCCCTGCAGTCACGAAAGCTTAAAATCCAAATTTTTTTAAGTTTTGCCTGGACATTTTCTTTGGTAAAAGTAATTTGAGTCCCATCAGCTGTGTGCCACGCAGTCCGCTGTGTGCGTGTCTCTTCGTTGCGTTGTATTGGTGATACCAATGCTGCCGCTAACAGATTACCTCTGAGCGAGGGCACTCAGCCAACGCGTGAAGCCCTTTCATGCACAAGTAACGGCCACAATCGTGGGATCTTCTGCACCTCTTCCACTAATTACCCTCACCTCTAATCTCTCACAGCCACCATTATCGACACGGAGAGCCATTTGCCTAGGGGTCACGAAAACAGTTTGAGATCCCATCAAAGCGATTGATTTTCTTGCATTTGTATTCAGGCCGGGCTGGGACGAAAATGTTTACCTGGGTGGACTTGGGTTAAGGGAGAATTACGCAGCGCGAATGGACACCGCTGCAAGGGGTTTGCCAAGCTGCTACAAGCCTCGTTATTAATGAAGCTGTTATAAGGTCAAGAAAAAAATCTATTACTCCGTAAACTATTTTTGTGTGTTTTGTTTGAAAACCGTAGCATCTGAAGCTGTCACAGGCTATCAGCCGCTGGCTGGCGTGGCATGATGAATGGCGACCCTGTGGTGCTGACTCCCCGCTTTTGAAGAGTTCTTTGTCCACAGATGTGGGCGCACGATGAGGACAAATGTAAACACGATAACTCTCTGGACACTCATTGGCCCGTGGAAGCACATTGTCCGCAGGTCTCATCTCGTTCCGCCTCGCTACCGCTGAAGGTCCCCTCAGGCGTTTGGCAGTGCCATCTCGTGACCGGCGGACAGCTCTCCGCCAGACGGCAGTCGTGCCAGGAGGCGTCGCGCCTACCTGGCCAGGTGGTGGCTGGCTGACCCCTGTCTGCGAACGAGTTTCGCGAGAATGCCGCCGGAAGATTACGAGGAGGATGACACGTGTTTAACCCGTGGCCTAATTGCGTCATGGCTAGCGCGCTGGACTCGCGATCCAGAGGTCGCAGGTTCGATTCCGATCTCCTCCGTCGCGACAATTGAGCCCATGGGTGAGACCACAGTCATTCGATCGGTAGGTCACGTGTGGCGAAGTAAAGCGTTGGTGTTTCCACCTCTGCCAAGATTCTTCCAGTGTGAAGAGTAGGCCAAGTATCCTCTAGAGAGGGTCTCTCGATGCTTCCTCTCATGGAGGCTCTTCCGGCGTGACAAAGTAATTGCAGGGCTGTGCCTTTATGTTTTTTTATTACTCTAATTACATCTATTTCTGTAGCCCATGTGTGGAGTATAGGGCGTGTTAGAAATGTATGCAGAATTGATTAATTCAAATGCGGCACTTTGGGGAGTTTTTGTATTTATTTACATGCTAATGTGGCAACTTTTCCCCAGATTAAAGAACACAGGATGTGAGTTTATCACGTGATAATGCTAACAGTGCTTGCAGCATATTAGTGTAAACGGAGTGAAGAAAAAAATCATTTGGTCTCCATGTAGAAATTGGAATTGGGCAAACAAATGTAAATTCAAACAAGGCTGTTTTGCTAAGTTACTGTGTACAGCACACTACTGAAAATGTATGACCCGGTTATCTTTATTAAGGGTATTGTAATATCCCCAAGAAAAACACATCCCATGATGTTAATACGTGTATTTTATGCAGAATGAGCTGATAAAACATGCTGTGCATCTGCACATTCCATTACAAGACTAAATTTCTCCCCAATGAACCACTGTGAAATTGTGGTTCATTGAGTGGATTATAAGATCCTGCTGCTGCTGACTTACACGCATCTCAATGCGAACACTATGAAACTATATACTTTTTTATTTTACTTGATAAGGCCCACAATATTTACAGGAACTGGTCCATTTTTATACTCAAACAATGTCCCCGAGATCTTTGGATCTCTTTCTTCGAATTGCTCAGAGGTCAGGGCTCATTTCCTCGGGTGACCGGGCTATTATCAGTGCGGCTTCCAGACTGCGGGACACTTTGCCGTCGGTAATATAATCAGACATTTGGAGTCGTTCGAGACGTTTACGTCCTTGTTGAAAACGCCCCTCTTTAAATGGGAATTTACCCCGAATTCTGACCATTTACCCTGGTAATGTTTAGTTCCTGATTTCCTCACAGGGCGCATTGGCAGCTACGAGGTGAAATGCGCCTTACAAATGTTTATTATTAGACAGTACTGCAGAAAGCAACCTGCAATGACCACTGGCCGGTGTGGTGAAGTATGGTCAGATGTTGATTGAAAAAGGTCTGTACATTATATATATATAAAAATATAAGTTTGTTTTATTTTAAAAAATTCCACTGTAATATCCCTTGAGATGGAACTACTCTTATGTAAGGGTGTCCGAGGTAAAAAAAATATGCAAATGATAAAAATATACTACTACCTAGATTTTTCACAGTTGCGCTGTATAGCTCTCGGGTTGAGAGCAAATGTGGGAGCATAAAAATGCAGAATCCTAGACAAACTTCCAGCACGTGGAGCAAAACGTCGGACATCGTGCCGAACAGCACGCGGCACGACCCTGTAAAAATGGCCGACAAATTAAAAAACTTTCCCAAATCCAACAAGAGTTTCTCATCTATCGGCACAATAGTGTGAAAATGTTGACCTTTAAAATGCCGCCATTGCGGACAATGTGCTCGCGAGATTAATGGCATCGTGGGGCAGTGATGGCTGCCTTGTTTTTCACACATAGTGGCTGTGCTGTCTAGTGATTGGGCACTTGCTTCGGTGGTGGTGCCAGGGTTCACTGGCTTGTGTCTTTTAATGGTGCGCCCCAGAGAATTCCATTTGGGCGGGTGGCTGTGGGAGAGGGCCCTAAGTTTTCGGGGTCAGCCTGCCGTGCGCAACAGGGAAATAAAACAAGGACGGGAGCTCTTCAAACAAATCTACAGCGTGCGGCGAAGGCGGAGAGAGGGGTGGGAGGCAGCATTGGGTCGAATACCCACACGAACAGCCCCTCATATCAGTCCACTGCTGGATGACGGCCTACCCACGCCGTACAGGTCGTGCGTTTTTTTTTTATCACCGTACTTAATCAAACGATGGTCAATGCGGGTTAGTGATGTGGCAGGGACAGTTAGGACCGTTTCATACATCATTCATTACTGATGTTAGCCATGGCCCGGATTCGAACTCAGGTCGCCGGATTCACGGTGCAACACGCTATCAACTCCACCACTGCTGTAACTTACGAGGCAGTGATCTTCTTTGTGGTTTAAACTCGCCAGGGGTCTGCTTTGTGGTTGTATTATCTACAAGAAGCAGTAGGGTCTGCAAAATACCCCTATTGTCTTAGCCCCGATTTTTCCTATTATCTGGGATTATCCGCAGTTTTTTACCAAACCGCATTGCGAAATAAATGTTTCGCAGATAAGAGGAATTACTTGGAAAATGCCTCGTGTTATCCGCAATTTGTTTAATGGATGAACGGAGTAAGTTCACAGATAACCCCACGGATGATAGTATCCGTGATTTCCATCCCCCACGTCACCGCGAATAAGAGGAGCTCTCCAGAACCACGTGCCGGGATGATGAGGTTGTGACATTGTCGCTGAGCTCGCTGTCGTCGAGGAGTCTTTTTGTGTCCCTGCGTCCCTGACAAGTCATGGATTGTTTTGTTCTCCTCTTCCTACAGGGACCTGAGGTTCAACAGAATCCGAGAAATTCTCCCAGGAGCGTTCAAGAAGTTAAAAAACCTCAATACACTGTAAGTACAAAAGATGCGATTGTGGTGGCCACGCTTGCTTGTAATAACATTATCGATGTAAAACACAATCCCTCGCAGCGATTGCACTTAAAATGTCAATAAAAGACTTGCTTTGTCTGCACCGGGGCTGGCCAACCCAACGCAATTCAGACGCAGCCGAGTGAGACGAAAGTGTGCCGTCGGCAAGCGCGGCAAACCTCGGGGTCCACAGTGACGAGTCCAGGTGAAGACGGGCGGTCGTTACGCGCAGACACGAGCCCTCCACCATCCCCGCCCCCTCCTGGGACGTTTTAGATCAGCCTCTGGCATGGTGCAAATGTTGTTTCCGACAGATGTTCACATAGCCGACCTAGTCAGGTATCCAGCTTACACATCATCAGTCGCCGGGCGGGTCGGACATGTGACCTACGGGACTGGGGCAAATGAGTCCACCGCTGTTCCGTTAATTGTCACAATCCACGGCGGAGACCCGATGCACACGTACTTTATTCTCTCGGCTCGTTTGTCGAGCTTCTTCCCTTGTTTATATCTCGCGTGTGCAGTGTTGTCTGCTTCATAAGTCAAAGTCAAAATGTCACATTTACAAAAGCATCGAGTTATCCATCTGGTGATTCGATAGAGATATCGTGAGCCTTAAGATTTGATACGGCCCTTTTTGCAGACATGTTATGTGAACAAATACACTTTGTCAATTATTCTACTGTGTTGGATAACACCTGGTGTGGTGTGTGGAGCGGTAGTGTCATGGTTAGTGCAAACTGGTGACCCAAGTTCGATTTCCGCTCACAGTCAACATCGGCGACAAATATCTGAACTGCTCCCGGGCCTTCCCTAGTCTGCTCTAGCCTTAAATGAGTACCTGGTGCAGTGTGTAAACATCGGCATTGGGGAGGCAAAGGCGGCCGGGCGTGGTGCTGGCCACCTACCACCTTGTGTGCCGCGTTGGCTTTAGTATCTGCTCGCTAACAGCACTTGCCCCAGCAGCTTGTTCAAACTCTATGGGGGATCGTTGACTTTGTGGTGGTGGGCCCTGAGAAACCAGAATGGTTGATTTCTCGTACACATGTGGACCCTAACCTGAAACTTAAAGTAAAACACGTGAGTAGAAAAATGTGGTTGAAGTTAGTTACGTTGATTTATTTCGATATTCTTGCGCACATGCTTGAGCTAAAGCATACAATCCTCAATATGAAAATTGGGATAAAAGTTTGCGTAAAAAAAGATATACACGTCTGGCATTTGCCAGCCAACGCATCTGTGGAAAATAATGTCTTGTGTTTCATGAATCCATTTAAATAAGAATTAAGTACGTGAGAGCATCTGGTTAAAGGCTTGTAAAACATTTTTAGACGTAATAAAATACACAACCTCCCTTCTCATCTTTTGTTGCATCTCCTGAATTACTGTTGCGTTTTTTTAAATGCATACAAAGGCTACACTTTGAGAATCGCTTCTGGAATCCGGTGGCCGCTCTCTGCAGTGAGAGCAGTGGCACTGGCTCCCACAAAACACCGCGGCAGTGTGGTTATAAATCGGCTTCGTTGGTGCCGGCGTGCCGCGCGTTCTCGTGACCCGCGTGGGCGTTGATGCGTCCGTTGCCGCCCGTGTCCCGAGTGACGGTCGCGCCACGTCATTACGATTACGAATTATTATTCAAGAACAACAAAAAACACAACGCAGACATCCGAGAAAGAAACACAGGTCACGATCGCATAACAGTCCGGAGCAGTACGTACACGTACGTATGTATTATCGAACTTCTTTCGCACCGTACGTAGGCGACCGTGCTGATCAGAGGTGCCGAATACGCCCTCAAATATGCGAGTGCTCCGATGCTTCACGTCCCACCGTTACGGCCCCGTCGTGCCACCGCGTGAGAGTTCCGCGGTCGTCCCCGCGTGTTTTGGGGCGGCACCGCGTTTCGTTCGGCACCGACGTCCAACGTTCCATTCCACGGGCCTGGGGGCTTCTTCGGGTACTTGCTTCAAACGAGACGTGCGGGGGCAACCCACAAACACATTGGAGGTCTCCGCACGCACGCTCGACGTGCGCTCGACGTGCGCGTTTACTACAGAGGAGGCCTCCGCATGCGTGCGTGCGCACGTATGGCGCACCGGCCTGCCGCGTGCATTCGCCCACCCTGACTCACTTGTCAAGGCACACGGGAAGCGAGTGAAACGTGAATTGGCTCTGGAACTGAATTCTTCCCGGCCTATCGGAAAGCAACAAACGCATTGTGCGGTACGCGTTTGCTCAGCATTGGTGTCCGACGTTTTGCTGCGCGTGCTGTGAGCCTCTGCGTGCAGTTCGAGAACTTTCAGAAATCTCCCAGCACGTGGAGCGAAACGTCGGACTTCGTGGACGCGGTACGACGCGAAAACGCGTCGGGAAAGTTTGCGTCCTGCAGGTCGTGTGCTGCAGGTGAAGTGTGACTTGCAGAAAGCGCTGTGCCTGCACATTCCGTTCCACTGAGCCAGTGTCCAGAGGATTTCCTAAACTCCTGCCGTGGGACCCGTTACCCTAAAAATACTAATTCTTTGTATGTGAAAAACACATCCACAGTATAAACAAATGCTTGTTCCGCTTGCATACTCGCATGTTTGTTTGTGTTATCGCTGTCTAAGGGAAATGGACAATTCCAGGGTGCACGTAGTGTGTCTACATAACGGCTCATATGTCTACGCTTTTCAGATTGGTTTCACGTTAGATACATTAGTGCACGTTTCTCTCCCCCGCACTTTGCCACCGTAATAATTTCTACGTAAGTTAGCACGTGTGATATTTGCGCAATCTTTCTCATAGCGCAAAGCTATCACGACGGAAGGCGCTGTTTCACACCAGGTGGGTCCGCTACCGCATGCAATCCCAATCGAATCAACTTGCCAGTCATTTTGGCTGTGGCCTTCCCCTCTCGAATGATGCCATCTGGGGATCTTTGACGTCCACCGTGAAGCGGACAGCGGGTAGTAATTACACGGTCAATTCTCTAGCCAGATGTCTCGCGTACCCACTGTTTACCCCACGACAAGCCGATTGAGTAGTTGTGCTGCACCCGTTGACACCCGCTCGGTTCGTGATTTAAGGAATTTGTGCCACGCGCCCACGGGAGAGCTAATCAAGCCTCTGGATTGCTGTGAAACAAACTTCTCCGCGAAAAAAAGCACACCAATCGACAGTCATTACTTCCGAAGCAGTGGATTAGTGCTTTCTGTCACGAGCTACCGTGCCGTACGCGTTCCAGATTTACAATTTGTATTTGCCCGCTTGCCTGCTTGTTTGTATATTATTTGTTTGCAAAGATGTATAAGCACCTGTAAAACATTCACACACGCACACTGCTAAGTTCGTAAAATAAATGTTCCGCCGCCTAATTTATGGAGCTTGTAGCGAACGCTCGCGTTGTTGCTGTTGTGTCTGTGCTTCCTGCCGTCTGTGAAATATACCCGCTGCGCGCTGTATTTATTGAATGTACGCTGGCAACTGATATTGACCTCAGCTGGTTGTTAAATTACATCTTGCGTGTTTATGCGAGGAGGGGCCACGACCAATCTCATAACGCGCTACGTGGATAGAATGGCTAGAAGATATTAAATCGTGCAATGCCTTGCCCGTTCCATTGTATCGCTTCACGCCATCGTCGAGCGAAAGTGGTGGAAAGGGAAATTAATTTTATCGAACAGAGCCCCTTTCGAAAAATATGCTTACGCGAACGATGGGCTTTGTGGAGGACCTTATCGCAATGGAGATAAAGCGGTGGCCGCAGCTGCGGATGTTCAGACAAGGCTCTGCTGACCGTTGTTTCCCAGTGCATTGTGCGTGTTGGCAGATCGGGGCCCACGGCTCACAAGATGGAATGCGGGCTCTCTGAAAGAGCATTGTCCTACCAACTCGCTGGGCTGAGCCTTTCGTAATTTGAATCTTTTCCGCATTGTCACTCATCGCGGTGATAAGAAGCAGCTGTTGAAAGCATTTGCTCTTGGAATGGTGATTTAGGAACTTTAACTGCAGGCATTTCTCATCATTCGGGGGCGTATGCTTGGTATTTAATGCTCGGCCCTGCTATCGCACAGAAACCGGCCCATTTGCTGTATTTGATTACTGTGCCCGCCTTATGTAATCTTTTCAATTACAGATAAGTCGGACGATTTGTCTCGCGTGAATACCTGAAATATCCTTCGCTGTTGCTCGAAGGGGAAAAAAATTACCTATATCCCCACATTTAAGCGATGCACAAAATTTCACGGCGCGAGTGTTTCCACTGCACGTGCGTTTCCACCGCACGTGCGTTTCGGATTCACGGTATTGCCTGGTCCGACGTCGTACGCACGGATATCTGCTCAGTTTCCCTTTCCTGCCATGTCGGACGATCTTCGGATTGAAAGTCGAGTGCGCTAACCATTACACCACAGCAACACCACGACAGGTTTCGACTACGACGACTTTATATTCGTGAACCAAAAAGAATGTGGATCCTCTGACGTGATAGAAGTTCGTAAATATGCAACAACAAAAAAAACCTTCTCACTAATTGCTCGTGGCGCAATTTGGGTTGTACTCCTGCCAAGCGTAATAACAACAATCGAAGTAGGTCAGAGGCGCACAGTGGCAGTGCGCGCGCACAACAGAAAGCAGTTGGTAACGCTGCAGGATATTTAGATGAGATTCGTACTGGTAGGAACCTCCTGGTTACATCAGCCCACGGGGAATTATTGTGTCCGTCGTGCAGGGAAGGGCTGGGTCGGGAGGGAGGGGCTTGGTGGGGAGGGGAGGGGCTGGGTGGGGAGGGGAGGGTGGGGAGGGGCTGGGTGGGGAGGGGCTGGGTGGGGAGAGTGGGGCTGGGTGGGGAGGGGCTGGTCACCCCGTGGTGCCCTTATAAAACTCAACGTTTAACCTACTCACACCGGCTTGTGCCTGCTTTCACAGTCGGGCATATTTGCAGAATACACCACGCCGCCGTTGACCCTGGCCATTGACCGAGCAACCCAACGTTCCTACCAGCTCCCTCCGCAGGAATGTGTTTAGAGGAGATTCGTTTCCCAGTCCGAGAGCAGCAACCACTGTATAGAGACTTTGCATTGGCCAAGCCGGGGAACCAAACCGCCGCCTTAAGGTTTTTGTTGTTTTCCCAGTGACATGCCGAATACGCGTTTGGAGTAATAGCGAGCGATGAGATGAGCAATGCAGATCCCTTTGTCACTTTCATTCTCCCCGCCTGCTGCGCAGATTCAGTAACGACCTGGATGACGTTGGCGATTTGAGCACACGTGAAAGAATATACAAAAAAAACAGAGTTACCGTTTCGAATCGTCGCGGAATACGCCAGCCACGCACTGAAACCCGCTGGAGGAGGCGGGTCATAGAAACGCGTTCAGAGAAGCCACCGCTCTTAACGTCCGTCACGGAACAATGTTGAATTTCCCCGGTGCATTTCGTTCCTGGCAAGACACCGCGGCTCTGCTTTTGACGTTTAGCTGCCAGGCACGGATGCCTCCGTGGTGTAACGGTGAGCGCAGTGAGCTTGCGATCCAAGCGGCAATTCAACCGATCGTGCAATTTTCTTAATTCCCAGCAGTATAAATGAGTAGACCCACTGACGGGCATGTCACGTGTGGTGGGTTACTTTTGTGGGTACACCCATCTACTCCAAGAAGTCTGGTCAGTCTGAAAGAGTAGGCCAAGAAACACCCACCAGAGGGGTTCTCTCGGGCTCTCTTTAGTGGAGGCCCTTCCGGCAGCAGTGGCGTGAACTTGCGGGGTTGCACCTTTACCTTCGAGGATCTTACACGAGGAAGGTCTCGCCAACGCTGCCGGCTTCTGTAAGCGATCTCTTCGTGGCCGCCTGTCTTAACGTCCAGATGTCGCAAAGATCAGCAACGACGATGGAGAAAAAAAATGTCTCTTAAGTGGAAAATGCGCTTCCTTGTGCGACTTTTTATATAAATACATGAGGAAAAACTCTGAAATTGTAGCTTTTATGGAAAAATTGAATATATAAAATCGAATTCGACCACACGCAAAAAAAAAATCGTGGCAGACATTCACGCATTAAGAGATCTCCTGTGACGGCTGCGTTGGAGTCTGTGAGCGCTGCCTCTCGCAAGGCGCGTGAACGTTCAACCCATAGGGGAATGCGGCTCTTCCCGTCAGGCGGGTCGTCGATCCCCCCCACCCCACCGTGGAAGCCCTCCGGGCAGGCGCTCCGTGCACGTAGGTACGGATCGCGGGTGCGAGACGCACCTGATTGATGCACATTTGTTGTACCAGGTGCGCTCTCGTCCCCCCACTCACGGAGGGGACACAACCGTGGTTTGTCTGGACGCCATAGTGATACGCGCCACGGGCGGGCACGTGCCCACGTGGGACACGTGCCCACGTGGGACACGTGCCCACGTAAAATCACGCATCACGGGAGCCACGCTTCGTGGTGGTGCGTGCCGCGGGAGGGCACGCGCCATGGAGGGCACTGGCTGTGGGATATGGCATGACCACTGCCGGGGGCTCGTAGGTCACATTATTGGTGGTACCATGGGGAGGCTGGTGGCTTGGCTGTTCATGTGCAAATGGACTGTGAACGGAAATGTTTTAATCGGCGGGGGCAGCAATTATTGGGCCCCCTTTTCTTAAATTCCTTCAGCGAGTGGCAGAACCGTGTGCTTTGCATCGGGCGCCCCATATTTAAATAGTTTCGTAATTCCCAAAAATATGTGACAATGACTCAACGCACACTTGTTTAAAACAGTTTTTTATTTATAAATGTTCTTTACTTTTGAATCACAATTAAAACATATTTAAGAGGGTTTTGAGGTGGCGCACCGCCCTAATGCCACGTAGAGACGAGGCATGGTTTACCGCCTATGGCCTTCAGCGGCAAGCGGTTCCAACTCAGAACAAACTGGATTCCGAGTAGCTGCTCAATCGCACACATTTTTTGATCAATTGCGGCTGTCAGTTTAACGAAGCTATGGAAACAGATCAGCGTACGAGCGTACTGAGTAATGGTTGTCAGCAACAGGCCGTGATTTGTTTTAAAACGGGAAATGTTCCCTGACTCCGTTTCCTGCAGGAAAACATCAAGCTCTCTCTCACCTCGGCGGTTAATCACACCAAACACTGTCTCTCGTAACAAACCGGGGGTAGATTCATGTGGCTACTTTTAAAAATAATCTTAACTCTCTCTCTAAAGTTGGCCCAATTTACATTCCACCAGCCAGCTTTACCGTCCAATGTTACCCTTTCCAGGTTTGCAACCCTGGCAAGCATTCTCCCAGCGAATATCAACTTCCCGTGAAGCGGCTCCTGCCAACTGTCTGCGAGAGAAGAACACAAACCCAATTTTTGGATTAGCTGCAAATTATGCGAAGCTTACAGTAAAGCCCTTGGCTTGCTGAGAGGTGACAAAGCCTACGGGGAGTTGGCAATGGAATTTAAACTTTTTTCCCCCAATCAATTCATCCCCTGATTATATCGGTCCGTGGTGAATAAATAAGTTACAAAGAAAATGTTTTTTTTTTTCTGATCGTTTGGACCGCGGTGCCATCAATATTAATCTCGTGGCTGCTGTGCGCTGCTCTCGTTTTCGTTCTTTCTTTCCTCCCCCTCAAAGGTTACTGAATAACAACCACATCAAGCGGATTCCGAGGCGAGCGTTTGAAGACCTGGAAAGCCTCAAATACCTGTGAGTGATGGCGGCCCCCCGCTTGCTCCGGAAAGACGCCCCCCTCGTTAAGTTATCGTGGAGCAGTCGCCCTCGGGTTCAGAAGGCCACACAATGGGCCCCAATTTTCCTGACATTGTCGAGACTAAGAGTTGGGGCCTTGCGGGCAAGCCCGAGGGATTCAAACTCTCAGCTGCAATCGGAGCCGGGAGAATGCGGGCGCAGGCGTGGCGGGCACCTCGCCACGGGCGCCGGGCTTCTGTTGACGAGGTATCGTGGAAGCCACCCAGGCAGGCGTGAATAGCCCACGGTCAGATACACGCCAAGTGAAAAATGGTCGGGGAATAATTTAATGTGGTTTTATTGTTGTTGTTGTTGTTGTTGTTGGAAATATACAGTGCAGGGTGATCCATTACTCGTGCCCCAGCGATGTCGAATGACCCCTCTCAGTTTCTCCTCGACGGCTGATTGGCGATTGTGCGAGCGATGGCTCCGTGTCTGACGGAGGAGGTTGGTTAAAATATAATTCGCACGGAGGTTTGTGGGCGACGTGTGGAGATGTTGTTCTCCCTCTAGTTGACGTCTCGTTATTATGGGGCATCTATAAATGGATCACCCTTTAAATGTGTGTAAACCTTTCCTGTATTTCAAGACACGGTACGCGATGAAGACATCGGCGCATTTCGTAACGTCACGTACACAAACTGAGTAGAAACTTGCGTACGGTATGCAAATTTGGCAAAGTGCACGTACGAACCACGTGTGTCTATGTGCGGCGCACGCGTGTGTGTGTGTGTGTGTCGTCATCTCGACGTCGCCTTGATGCACGTGGCCTTCCTCAGTGTGCCAGTGGCACCGTCCATCGCCGGGCGTCTCGCGCTCGCGAGGCGCCTGGTAGCCGTACAGCCGTTCCGAGTCGCATGGGACTGCGCCGTGTATATAGCATGCCTGCCATCCCCGCTGTTCGCTTTTGATGGTGGCTTATTTTCGCCGGCAAAATTTACGGCAACGACTGAAGCCTTTGCCAAGCCAGTTGCGCGAAACGCCTCGCATGCGCGCTGTCGGCCTGATAGCTCGAATGTCTCTCTGGTTTTTGTTGTGTGTCGCTCCTGTCCCTTTGAAGAGCTCCGTTTTTCACTCTGGATAACAGATGCTTTTTTCTGTATTTTCATCACCACTGGTGGGCTATTATCCTTGGAAGAGTAAAACACGTAGCGCGACAGGTGACCTTATACTGTACGGCACAACTTGTTCTCTATAATTTTCAATTCTTTCCCAGTGACCTTCAGCACGTTAATTTTTTTTGAGATTAAAATAATTTCAACTGTAGCCGTAATTGTCCTTTGCAAAATGTCTCTCCACGCTGAGAATTATTTTTAGACAGACCACGCCGGGAATTGTTTCACTCCGTGATTTCAGGTCACGTCGATTATTTTTTCACCATTCCCTTTGTACGAAAAGTTGAACCGTGTGCTTTCATGCATCAAAAATACCGCGACATTCACTCCACTCTTCTCTGCATGTGGCCTCCTCCGCACACCCGTTGGGATTTTTGCTCCACGTTCTGCTTGGGGTCGCTGTTATGCGGTGACACTTCAATATGTATCGTGCGATTATAAGATTCCACGATAATCGACTCATCAATCTTAACAAAATATCGGCATATCCTGATTATCATTGTTCAGATTACTCAATTGGGATTACACACAGCAGCAGCAGCAGCGAGCATCGCCCCATACTGGCAGGTCAGGTGCTGGGTCACCGTGTGTCACACAGGGACAGCTGCCACTAGGGTTGCTGTTTAAAATGATTGAGATGAGATGTGAGAAGTAAGTGGTCTATCGTGTGCAAGACGCTCAGAGACGCCCTGACGTATAGGCTGCTTTAAATTATTATAAATATTGTATTCATGAAAAAATTCTAACATGTTAAATTTCCTGACAAAATATGTATGAATAAACAATGATTATAGCGTTCACAATTGTCTTTTAAATTGTATAGAACGCCTTTGTTCAAGATGCTCTATAAATATAATTAAAGTCCGAGTGAAATAGATTTTTCCTATTAATATAGTGCTTTGTGGAAAAGTCTTTTGTTCAAAGTTTGGTAGGCGGACTCGTTTCTACGATGTGTATGCTTATTTAACTACGTCTAATTGACAGCAGCGTGTACGCTGCACGAGTTGTAGAGTCTTAAGTCGCACAGCTTCGTAGACTCGCGACAAGCTTGCGCTGCGCGAACTGCACTTGAAGAACTTTTGAGTAATCTTTATTCGTGCGTGGGGTACATCATCGCAAAAGACGATAAATACGTTAAGTAGAATTACAAATGTAAGGAAAACAATATCGCAACAACGACCGTAGCCGATTGCCAAATGTAATTTAGTGTCGGAATGTGACAAATTAGATGGCAGAATGATCCCTAGATCCGCGAGTGCCACGTCTCCTTCTCCTCCTCCTCCTCCGCTACCTCCTCCTCCTCCTCCGCTACCTCCTCCTCCTCCTCCGCTACCTCCTCCTCCGTGGCGCCACTGCTGCCGCCGCCAATCATAACACGTTCGCGAGCCTCTCCGATGATGTGTGGAGCTTCTCTGATCATTTGTGGGTTGTTTCTCTTTCAGCTATCTGTACAAGAATGAGATCCAGTCAATTGACAGGCACGCGTTTAAAGGGCTTGTGTCTCTTGAGCAACTGTAAGTGTTCTGTTGGCTTGGATGTTGCTTCCGCTGCCACCACTAACCGCTCGCTCTGCGCCCTCACTAATCAATGATTGCATCTTCCAGCGTCTGGCAAATTGCATTTTCATTATCCTTGTGTCTGCGTTGTCGTCAGGGCCGCCCAGAGGGGATGGAGGACAAAGAGGGCATTTGCCCTGGGCCTCACACAAAAGAGGGCCCCACAATGGGTCTGGGTTTTTTGTTGTTGTTGCTGCTGCTGCTGCTTCTTCTTCGTATTGCTGATGTAGAGCAACAGCTATAATTATACATCGTGGTTGGTTGAGCCAGAGAATTTCGTCAGGCGTAGCAGAGCGCTGCATCGCTGTGATGCCTCCTTCGTATTGGTGAATGGGAAGTGGTGATACATTCCACGGTCTGTTCCGTGTGAGCACAGTCACCTCACGCCGGAGAGTTTTTTTTAATGTAACTTTTTTGTTTGTCTATAATGAACGGGAGGGCCCAGGTAGCATTCTACCGCAAGCCTCGATCCCCGTGCCTCCATGGACCTCTGGGTGGCCGTGATTGCTGTGATGGCATTGGTTCCATTTCCACCCCGACATGATGGCTTGATGTTTGAAGAGGCTACTTCCTTTCAGATTTCTTTGCGACAGTTGAATGTTTCCACTTTGAAGGAACGATATCGTTTTGTTAAATCACACTGGAAGTAATGTTTTTTTATATCGAGGTTAATGGCCAGGGATTCGTAGTTGAGTGTTATGTCCGGGTGAGCCTCGTCAGCATTTCACACTGTGGTAAAACAGATGGAAAATGAATAAAATCTACAGATTATAATAACCAATATATATTCCAACTATTGTCCTTCACTTGCCCTGCCTGCTTCCTCACACCACGTGGATTTTCGTTTTGTGAAACGCGCATGATTTTCCTTTTCTTTGTGTGCATTCAACTAACACATGTGCTTGCATGCGAAAGTGAATTGTCTGAACACAAATGATGACTTGAGCACGTGTGCACTAAGCCACGTTAGGTAACTCACTGCTCGGGTGCATGACACTTGAGTTGTCGTTGTTCATTGCGCAGATTGAGTAAAGAAGAGAGACGGGAAATGCATCGCACATCGCATGCGCACCCACAAAACATTCCGTGTCGGCCTCTGCATCGTTAGGTGATTTGGGAGAGTGTAAGCATATTCTGCCTTACTGCCGTGTCTGTGCAAGGGTAAAGGTGCAGCCCTGCAAGTTCTTGCTCACGCCTCCACTCGAGGGCGATCTAGAGAGACCCTGTCGAGGGTATTTTGGCCTAATCTGCCACACTGACCAGACGTCTTGGAAGCGATGGGAATACCCAAACTTTACCCCAGCACACGCGACCTGCCGTCAAGCTGCGGTGTGCCCATGTATGCTTCATGATCGGAATCTTTATATATCCTGGAAGAATCCGATGAGGTAGGGGCGGGTGGACGGAGGTGGCGGGGATTGGAGAACGATGCTACTGCAGTGACGCTGATGTGCAGTAACAATTTTGCAATTGCTCATTGTCATAATAACAATGGGCCATGCAGACCTCCCCATGTCATCGTCTTTCATGATTCTACGATGCAACAAGCCACATAGCGCGGATACACGAGCGGATTTCACCACTCCATCTCCGCGTGGCGAAGGGTGAATGTTCTCTCAGGCGAGTTCCCTCCTTGGACTGCCACTCTGTCATCAGTCTCGACCTGCGGCCATCGTTTCTCCTGTCCCCATACTCCACCGAAGCCCCCCACTTCCATGAGCAGTCAGCATGGATGTCTCCAACTTGGATATCCTTCTCATCCACATGCTCCTCTTCCTGTCTCGCAGCGGCATTCCCAGGGTGCACCTCTCCATGCTTCTGTGAACACTTACCAGTTTTGCGTTGCGTTTTCTTTGTAATTGTCCAGGTTTTCAGAACCACGTGTCTCGTGATTATCGTATACGCCGTCACTACCGCGCTTCTAAGAACAACTTTAAGTTTGTTTGTGTTTTTAAATGCTTAACTATGTACTGCAGCATTGTGTTGGACAATGCTCGGAATGCACAGCCGAAGTAGAAACGTGCAAATTTTTAAACTACAGTTTTAGTTTTTTGAGTTTAAACACAGCACAGTCTGTCGACGCTAAACTAGTTTACGTTGCTTGTTATTTTTGCGCGCGTGCGTGCGTGTGCGTGTGTGTTCGTTCCACCGTGCAACGTTGCTAAGGTAAGTGTCCTTTTTGGGTGTTTAGTCAGGCTTGAGTTCATGCCCTGTGCCCGTGTTTGTGTTTGAATAGGTACATTCACTTCAACCACATAGAAGTCGTGGAGCCAAACACATTTGTTGATCTACCCAAGCTCGAGAGACTGTGAGTGTGGAGCCCTCCCCGCGCCAAGCACTCATCGCACGGCCACTGTTCACGATTCTACGTCACCGTCGTTTTCTGTGTTGTTGCTATTTTCACTAAAGCCACGACATTCACTTTGCAAAGAAAACAAAACGTCGTCGGCTGTCTGTCCCTTCCGTCAGCTCATTCGCGGCTAAAGGGGCCGAATGAATATCCACTGCGGTTCTCTCTCTGTCTGTCCAGTGTCGCTGCTCCGCTTGCTCTCGATCCTCTCTCTGCTCAATCTCTCCCCGCTGCGTCCGTCCCTCCAGGTTTCCGTCTCTTCCCCCCTCCTCGAGTCTCTTCTGCCACCTTCGCGTGCAGCCTCGCCGAGTGCAGAAATCACGCCCGGGCTCATTCATTTTTTGTCCTCCCCACCCGCACCTCCGATTAGCACGGTTGGCTACGTACGCCGCTAAAGAACTTCAACGCCTTCACTAGGGCTCGTCATGTTTCAGTCCCACTCCTAACCAGAAAGAGTAAATAAATAAATATCGGATTTGAAAAACATCCGGATGGAGAGTTAACGTGCTGTGCTGTGTTTTTTTCTTCCCCCTTGTGTTTTTAGATTTCTGCACAACAATAGGTTATCGCGGATCGCGACGGGGACCTTCACGCAGCTGAGCTCTCTGAAACGCTTGTGAGTGTGGGGGCGTCCTTCCAGTTGCCTGGGTACAGGACCAGGTCGCAGCATTCCAGCGACTTATCAAGGCCCTCAGATTTAACAGCACGAAAGTAGTTTTTTATTGATGGTTTTAATTACATTTTGAACGCTTTGCAGCCGAGGTTAAAAGCGTCACTGCGTTAGCTCAGTTCGCCTGTATGTCTGGAAAGTGGCTTAACTATAATTCTGAGAAAGATGATCCAATGTGAATACAAATTTAGTATCACGTTGTGCTGCTAATTATGGCTTAATCGGATAGATAACTGGCCAAATGAATCAAAAAGTTGCCCAAAAACTTACATTCACAAATCAGTGCAGAAAAGAATATTTGAAAAAAACGTAAACGCACTTTGCCCTGCAGCTATGCAATCAGCTCCCATACGACACATTCAATGCCCCCTCCGACAAATGCTTCATGGAACGCTTTACATAATCCATGCACGTGCAAGATTTTTCTCCCTTGTGTTGGTCTCTTCCGGAGCCCTATGAAACTATGTCAAATTGAGGTAGAGTGCATGAAGATCACGGCAAGAGAAGCCGGTTGCAGGAAGGAAGTAACGGATCTTAATCGGTATATGCCGCTGTGGTTCGGCACCGATGCGACTGCCGGGCGCTGCGGAGCGACCGCGGTCTGTTGTGGCGAGAGCCGCTGTGTTCACCGCTGAACCGCATTTCGTCGAATTTACAACAAACGGTCGAACGAAAGGTCAGACGTTGAACTTTCGCATTTATTACCTATCCAAAATTTGGCCTTGCAGCACTCACTTGTGTCAGATTAGGTTGCTTACTATTACATTTTACACGTAAGAATATGTAAATGTAACGTAGGGGACTGCTGCCGCGGCATAATGGTGAGCACATTGGACTTGAGATGCAGATGGTTGCCAGCTCGATTCCATCTCCGGGAACAGCAGTTGAAGCAATGGCGAGAGATTCTTCAATCCCTCCCAGGCTCTTGTCCACCCAGAGACATCAACCACTACACCACGGGCGATCCGCCCGTTGCGTGTGGTGGGGTAAAGTGTGGGTGACTCAGACCGATTCCAAGATCCCTGGCCGCCGTGGAAGAGTAGGCCAAACTGCCCTCCGCAGAGGGCTTTCTCTTGAGCTCTCTCGAGTTTAAGGCCCTTTTATCCAGCCGTGATGAGACTACCAATTTTGCTGGGGTTGCTGCATAAAGTTTACTCGGCTTCCTGTTTGTTCGCGTCTTGTCCAGCTGTTTGTTGTTTGGCGAGCTCAGGCCAGGCAGTGTCTAAACAGCGCCAGTGGTTTTCACATTACTCTCAGCTGATGAAGCTGCCGACGGAGTGTTTGAGGGTAGAGGATTGATGCGCGGACTCGCTTGTCCGTACTCTCCGCTTGGAACAGCCACGGGCTGTGTTTTCGTGACCTTGAAGATTCATGAGGTTGAACCGTGGCAGAGTGAAGCGGGGAAAAAAAAAGATTCCACTAAAATGTTGCCCTCCGGCCCAAGAGTGACGAGAAAGAATGATGTCATGTTGTTTCAAACAGTTTGTTTTTGTATCACTAGAAACATTCAGTAGGTTTAAGCCGAGTTTGAGAATTTACAATGTATCTATGTACGTAACATGTGTGTGACATCATACGATTATTGGGGGTGGATTATGGCGCTGAATAACACGTGAAGTAACGCCTGGGGGTGGGTAGCGGCTGCTCGGGAGCGGAGAAGGAGTGCGGGGTTGAGTCGAGTTGAAGTGGGTTTCTTGCCGAGCGAGGCAGACATCTGCCGTGACCGTGTGTCTGTAAATGACTCACTCGTGCAACGCCTTACGCAGAGCTTCTTGTTTTTGTTGGGGTGATTGCGCTGCACGAGTTGACTTGGAGTGCTCGGTTGATGAGTCATTCACACGTACGAGCCGGACACGGATCGGTTGGATCGTAGGAGTTGAGCGGGGTGACGGAGGCATGGCGAGGCAATGCCGTTTGCTACTTTTCTGCTCACTTGGCCCTGCAGATGTCACAGCGTGCTCCTTGCTGTCTCACGTCTACCAATCCAGTAGCAACTAGAGCGGTGTTCTTCGTTGCAAGGCCCGCGGGCTACCGGCGGCTCCTGATGGCCTTTAATGCGGCCTCCGACAATCCACAACGTGTCATTGCAGCCCATGCAGGCGGTGTGGTGGCCCTCACACCGACGTCTTGTGGGCGAAAGTGCCCCCCCCCTCTGAAAGGTAGTGAAGAACACTGAACTAAATTACCAGGCCTTGACTGCTGGTGAGGCCATAAAAATGGAAATGGCTTAATGAGTTTGCGTGTGTAATAATGACCGGCTACTGCGTCTGGTTAAACACATGCTTTGAAGAATAACTGTAGATGACGAATAGGCCGGTTTGTTAATAATTGCATTACTTATTAGGGTGTTAAAGTCTCATTTATCCCAGGGTGATGGAGGAGAAGGGAGCGGGTGACCCTGATAAATCAAACACAGACAATGCAAAACACTTGTGGATCGGGCTGTAAAACACATGCATTATTCACTTTCGTAAAGCGAGGCTAAAAACGGGAGAATGTGCCAGTCATTTGAATAGCGGTGGCTGAGTCACAAGCTTTGATCAGCTGATATTAATCGTAGCAGCTGTGGCGCGTAAGGGCAGGAATGAGCGGACAACAGCAGATTTCCTGGAAGCTGCCGTGGTTGTTAATGGACAGCACATCGGACTTGCGACACCAGTAGGTGGTTCGATTCCACCTACTGGCGTGGCAGTCGAAACAACGGCGGCACCTTTCTCCAACCACGCCTGGTCCTCCACCCAGCAGTTCAGCGACCCCGTGGTGTGCGGTGGGCTCTTACAAGAAGCCTGCTCGACGTGGACGAGTAGGCCAAACGCCCTCGAGAGTTCTCGCTACCGGATGCCCTTCCGCCGGCAGTGGCGTGAGCGAGCGGTTGCAGGGCTGCACCTTTACCATTGCCACATTTGCCATTTCCCCCAGTGATTTTGCGCGCCGTGGTCGATCCTGCAACGGGGATGAATCCGCACACGGACAACCGAGTATTAGAAAGCCGATGGCGACATCGGCGATCACTCGGATATTCTAACACAACCTTCACTTGCACACAAACAAAGGCAAAATTATCTCCCGTATAGCCTGTTCAGACTGTAAGGGCAAGTGCTGATAGCGAGGTCCTAATAACATCGACACCAAGCAGCAATTACTCCCCGGCCGCCTTTGTCTTCCCAGTGCTGATGTTTCGCACACAGCACCAGGTATTCATTTGAGGCTGAGTCGATGTAGGGAAGGCCCAGGACCAGTTCAGATAGTCACCTGCCGACGCTAGCCTTGGCTGAGAATTGGACGAATTCATAGTGTCGTGTGCTAACAACGGCACGAGCGTGTCCCCACTTAGACACACACACACACACTAGCGCACACGTCGGCTATAAAAGCGCCAGCGTACGTGTCCATTTGCATTGTGTGGGGATGAGGGGGGCGCCGCTCGCTTAGTATTCTGCCCTCACCGTGGTGCCCCCGCCGGCAGTGTATAACGCAACACGTGCCAAGCGAGACCCAACCGAGGGCTTGATAATAAGCTCCCTGTTACCGTCAATGAAACGTGGCCCTTGTGCGGTGCGGTTTTTTTTTCTTCTTCTCCCCCCTTGGCATCTCCCAGGCGGCTCGACTCCAACCGGCTGGTGTGCGACTGCGAGCTGGTGTGGTTGGCCGAGCTGCTGCGGGCGTTCGCCGGTTCCGGTGGCACGCTGGCGGCCGCCACCTGCGAACACCCGCGCCGGCTACAGGGACGGTCGGTGTCGAGCATCACCGCGCACGAGTTCCACTGCGGTGAGGTCCGGCGCTGGCACGGGCGGTGGGGGCCCCCACGCGCGTGTGACCCGTTGTGTCCGGCTCTTTTGTTTGACCCCCCCCCCCCCCCATGTGACCAAAATCACCACGGCGAATGTGCCTGGGTCCCATCCCACCATAGGCACTAAATCAGAATCACAAGTTAATTTCCCCCTTCCTCTTCTTCCTCTTCCTCCTCCGTGAGGCTGCTGGCGTAGATGCAGAGCAACGGCTACAATTTCACATTCACGGTGGTCGAGCCAGATAAGCGCGTCCGGAGCAGCGGAGTGTGTCGCTGCGATGCCTCCTTCGTATCTGTGGTGCAGGCATTGCGTCATTACACGTTGCACGGTCACCTCACTGGGGACAAGTTCAGCGTCGCATGGTCGTTTTTAGACGGGTCCTTCGAGCCCCGAGACCCACCCGTGTGGTTTGTTATTTTGGAGCCAGCTACCACTGCGAGGGCCACTCCACAAACAATCTCTTGCCACTCTGCACCTCAAAAGGGTCCCATCACACCAGGGGGCCCTCACACTCCGCTCTCCCCTCTCTCCCTCCGTCGGGCTCTGTGTAGCAGGCGTCCGGGGAGCGAGAGGCTGGATGCAAGATCTAAATAATGGAGGAAGGAAACTGCACTCGGTTGTTTATGTTTTACAGAAATCTCCATCGTTTTGGTTTGAGTGGATAAGGATGCTCTGAAATCCGCTGTGCCGTGGCAGCCCGGCTGGAGAATGCCGCTTGCTGTGCGGTGTTGTTGTCTGCTGCCTGGGCTGGCTGTAAATTCACATTTGTAGGCCCTGGCAAGCCTGACTGTAAGGAATTTAAGCCAATTATGCCACTATCTCTGTCAAGGATAATTTACAAATTCATTAAAAGAAAAAAAGCGATATGTTTCGCGCTTGTATGCAGTTGCACACATCACCCAAGCCTTGCCTACCTCCCCCCTTTAAATCGCCAACGTTTACACTCCGCATCGTGGGTGGCCCACCTGCGACCGTGGAAGTGTGATCGTCTCGTCATGTACATGGTGACAACGGAGGCTGACATCGTGGCCTGACTGACCGTTGCGTCTGTGCTGCAAGTCAGCTGTGGAATGTGGTGTTTCCTTGGAAAGCCACATCCATCCTCTTATCTGTTGTTGCCATTCCAGTGCGGTGCTGTCCATCGGTGTGTGCGTGTTGTTGTGTGCGTACGTGAGTGCGTTAGTGCAGTGGTTAGCGCACTGCGCTACGAACCCGGAGACACGAGTTTCAATTCCCGCTCATGGCCAACAGCATTGACGATTAGTTGAAACCTGGTCCTGGGCCTCCCCTAGGTCGACTCAGTCTCCAATGAGTACCTGGTGCGATGTGGAAAAACATCGCCACTGGGGAGACGAAGGCGGCCGGGCGTGGTGCTGGCCACCTACCCCTCGTGTACTGTGCCGGCCTTCATAGGTGTAGCTCGCTAACAGAACTTGCCCCAACAGTCGGTGAAGGCTATACGGGGGATCTTTGTCTTTGTACGTGAGTGCCAGTGTTTGCCCGTGTGCTCGTGTGTGAGCCCGCGAGGATGTACACTGCGCTGCCCCGCCGAGCCCCCCCCCCCCCCCCCCAGGCGCTCTGCAGCCGCTGGCGCTGTTCACGCTGCGTTCTGTGTGAGGCCTCGCTCGCAACGGTGACGGTAACGGAGCTCTCGTCCCACGTCGCTATCCTCTCCCGCGTCGCGGCCGCTCGTGTCATATCCACCGCTGGGCGAGGGCCGTGAGGGATATTTTGACCATACTTCACTGTGCGGGTCAGCGTGGGTTGGTAAAGGCGGTTGCGGGGGGCGTGGGGGAGTGCAGAACCACAGCGTGCTGCCCTCGACTGCCCACGACGCCCACTGCACCTGTTGGTGGGGCATGATGGTCACCCGCCCGATACAGCCTGACAGCCGCCTAGCTTCTGAGATTTGACAATGTCGAGGGCATTCTGGGAGGTTTGGTCACAGACTGCTAATTCCACAATGGAACGTTGCCTTCGCGTCGTGGGATGCGTCGTGGGATGACGTGACCGTTAGGATCGCTCGCAGAGCGACGCGACCCTTCGATGTTGGAGAACGCCCCACGGAAGCGGACACCGCAGAGCTACCTCTGGGATTGCTTAAAGCGACCCCCTGGTGCAAAGAGTATTGTACAGAATTAATTTATAATGTGATGGGAATGTTTTGTGTGTGCAGTAATTGGTCACGGCGCTAAAACGATTAACTCACTACACTTGAGTGCCCAGTTTAATCACAGCATTGTAATCACAGCAGGGTTCAAACACAGGATATCAGCGGTGCCAGCTCTCTCCTATAACCTCTGAACCGCCTTGCTTTGTTTTTGAGGATGACACGTGCATCTCTGGAGGCTCGCTTCGCGTTTGTTTGTCGACGCGTTGCTCTGTGTGGCAGGTGCGTTCCACGTGGCAATCCGTGCGTGGATGGTGCTCTGCATGTCTCCTCCTCCTTATGGGGGAGCAGCAGTGCACCGGTTAGCGCGCCGCGCTACGAACACGGAGACCCGAGTTCGGTTCCCGCTCACGGTCAACACCAGTTACAATTATTTGAATCGGTTCTGGGCCTCCCTTAGGTCTACTCAGCCTCAAATGAGTACCTGGTGCAATGTGTAAACATCGTCACTGGGTAGACAAAGGCGGTCGGGCGTGGTGTCGTGCCGGCCTTCATAGGTGCAGTTTTCTAGCAGCACTTGCCCCAAAAGTCTGTTAAGGCTACACGGGGGATCTTTGTCTTTGTCCTCTTCCCACAGAAAGCCCTCGCATCACTTCGGAGCCGCACGATGTGGACGTGACTCCAGGGAACACGGTGTACCTCCGGTGCCGCGCCGAGGGGAACCCCAAACCGGCCATCATCTGGCTTCACAACAGGTGCCTCCGTTACGTGGCCATATCCTGTCCAGGGAGATGTTAACTTTTTATATTACCATTCACCACACGAAACAAAAAAATGTAAAAACCCAGTCGCCGGTTTGCCATACATCAAGAAATATCTTGAGCAATGAATGGACATTTTTTACCTTTTTGAGCAATAAACGTAGACTGCAGCTGCTGTGGTGTAATGGTTCACACACGGGACTGGCAAATCTATAGGACACTGATTTGGTTCCAACTCCCGGTACGGTAGTTGAAATAGTGTGGTAAATCAACGCATTTCATTCCTAAAATTCCACTGCCAAGCGGCCACCGGTTCCTGGCTTTACGATCCGGTGTCACTGCCGTTAAAGTTTCACGATTCAATCGGCTAATAGTGCACCGCAGAATCGCCAGGCAGAGGTGGCGATCAAACCGCTGCCGTGCCGTGCCATGCCGTGCCATGCCATGCCGTGCCATGCCGTGCCAAACGTGCCAACCCCTTGCGCCGCCATTGTGCATTGCATCGTCTAATAGCTTTGGAACAAAACTGGAAGATTTAAAGGCTGTCAAACAAATTGCGCATATTGTTTGACATGTCTTACACGGCGACTGCGTTCAGAGAACCACGATTCATGTTTAACCAACCGCATGACATTCAAATAAGAAACATTTAATATCTATGCACCCAAAAACAGAATTGTTATCATTGTATGTTGAATTTATTTCGCACCGTACGTAGCCAACCGTGCTAATCAGAGGTGCGGGGGAAGGACAACAAACTGAACACAAAAATCTCAGGAAATGAGTTTAAATTTCTTCAATTGACATGAACTTAAATAAATCTAAGTTTATATTCACAAGTTGGGTCATATTAAGATGGACCGAGGTTGATGCTCTTTGGTAAAGGAAACTTCTGGGCTCAGTTGTTAAGTAGCATTCTAATTTAAACCGTTAATGCATCAGTATATATAATTTATACATTTATATATAGCGGTGGCTGGATCAGAGTGCAGATCGCGGACATCGTTGGTGTCGCAAACAACAGCTTAAGCAACATCTGCCTTTTATGTGGGACACGGCTTAGCACGAGATGCCGCTGGTCAACATCATTGTTTATGCAAAAGGGAATTTGTTTATTAATATTTTTTGCTAAAACCGCAACTGTTTGTCGTAGCCGCTCCGCCTTCCCAAAGTCTTGCCGGCTCCGAGCGGCGTCCATCTCCCCCATTCCGTGTTTTTTTCCCGCTCTGTGTGTTTTTTGTTTCGACGCTCCGTGTTCTTTCCCGCTCCACGTTTTTTCCCGACGCTCGCAGCAATGAAATAGCGATGGCGGAGGATGAGCGACGAAACCTTCTGCAGGACGGCACGCTGATGATCCGCGACACGCGCCACACCGACCAGGGCACCTACCAGTGCATGGCGCGCAACGTAGCCGGAGAGGTCAAGGCGCCGGAGGTGGTGTTGCGATACTTCGACGTGCCAGGTGTGACCCCCGGGACCGCACAGAGCACAAAGTCGACTGAAGTTGGAGCACCGGTTTGCCGTGTCTGCTAATGATGACAAAAACTGTTAAACATCTAAAACATATCCCTATTTAATGTTTTACAAAAAGTTCATCAATCGCCCCTATTTTAAAGCCATCATATTTACGTATTTGTCTGTTATAAGACAGTCTGAACAATGACCGTGGTATATTTATATATTTTTTGTTACTGACGATGCAGATCCCCTAATTGTCATGCTGTGCGTTGTATTGTTCACTAACTCATCGACGCAACGCCACACGGCCGAGCTGAACCGCACGCCGCTGCTGCTGCTGCCGCTGCTGCTGCTGCTGCTGTCACGCTTTCTCCCTCGGGGCGTCTTCGCGGAAGAGCACGCCGATTAGCGCCGGTGTGAGTGGCCCTGAAATGTTTGTGGCTCTAGCCACAAATTTAGTTTCATATTTGTACCCCCGGGGGAATGAATATTCGCTCCCACAAACATCGGCTAGGACAAAATTATGGCCAAACCAGATGGCGCGATAACGTGAAATTAACCTGAAAGAACATTGAGCGAACGTTGGCGTGAACAAAAGGAGTTGTTCTAAAATTAAGAATTTATTTGAAAACGCATGGATATAGACGAATCTGAAAGGGAAGGTGGCGGTACTCAGAAGGGGGGTGCATTCATGGGAAACACAAGTCCAAAAGCTGTAAATGCCAAAACGTCAAGCAACCAGCAACAAACAGCACTATTGAAGGGGAAGCAGATAGGCTTTCAGATATTTCTTAATTTGAGTGAGGATGTTATAAGAGTTTTCGGAAGAGAGACGATGAGAGGGAATTCTAAAGTGGAGTGGTGCGAGGGAACAAGCAGAGAGAGAGAGAGAGAAGTGCTGAGACCTGCAGTGGTTGAACGCGGTGTGACGGATGAGAGATGAAACGATGTGGTGGACCGAGTCCTCAACGTGCGTGGCAGGGGTCACCGAGTGAAGTGATAAGGAGATGACTGGCCACCGGTGAGCGAGTGATGGGAGCGATAAGGCTAGTGCCGGACCATCGATCGCTCAGACTAAACTAAAACTATCAACTACGTTTGTTTTTCCAGGTAAGGCCCCACTGAGCGATATAGCAATTTTTCAGAAGCGACCTGGACACAAATAATAGCTCAACAAAGTGACTTATCACGTGCGAATCTATAGCAGCCAAATACCATAAACGCGTGATGCTGATTCTAAATGTGGAGGAGAAGACCAGTGGACCCAGAGAAAAATCCACGCGACCACGGGGAGAACATGCAAACTCAAACTCCAAATATGCAGCAGGTGTCAGGGTCAGGATCGAACTCACGACCTCCTGTATATCAGGCGAGGTAGTTAACATCTTGCGACTGCGGCGATGGGTCCTGCTCAATTGTAAACATCGTCCGCAAACCAACAAAATTATTCGACGCATTCAAATGCTCGGCACGCTGCGGCCGCTCCGGCTGCCGCGCGTGACCCCGGCTCCCGTTAACCCCGGCAGCGCCGCCGACCTTCGTGATCCAGCCGCACGACACAGAAGTGCTGGTGGGCGAGAGCGTGACGCTGGAGTGCAGCGCGGGGGGGTACCCGGCCCCCCGCGTCTCCTGGACGCGCGGCGACTCGGAGCAGCTGCCGGCCGACCCCCGCTTCTCCGTGACGGCCTCGGGGGGGCTGCACGTGGAGCGCGCGGGGCCGGGCGACGAGGGGCGCTACACGTGCCACGCGAGCAACAACCAGGACTCGATCCGCGCCTCCGCCACCATCCTGCTGCAGTGTGAGTGTCTGGCCAACAGCGACGACGACGACGACGATGAGAACGGCGGCGGCGGCGGCGGCAATATAGCGCTCTCAAGTGTTGTGTGAAAACGCTTCAGAGGGCTATGCAACACGACAGCTAACGCCTACGTAGTGGTGCAACAACAGCAGTAAATGTGAGTGCGTGTCGTGTCTAGAGTATCTAAATGCTGCCCCGGTGTAATGGTTAGCACGCTCGACTTGCAATCCAGAGGTCGCCAGCGGTTGAAACAATGGTGCGAGTTTCTTGACCATGCTCACTTCTATCCAGGCAGCAGTATAAATGGGTGCACCACAGTAATTCCATGAGCAGGTGGCGTACCGTGGGGTGAAGTGCGGGTTCTCCGGTTCTTCCAAGACATCTGGTTAGCAGTGGAGTGAGAAGGTAATTGCATGGCTGCACCTTGACCTGAATGCAATCCTCATCTTGAGATGCTTTGCAAAATTTGGAAGAACTACATTTGCATAGAAAGGGGTGAGCGGGGCGTCAGGGTCAGGGAACACAGGAGGGACCAAGCAAACGGGGCCCAGAACCAACACCAACAACAAGCACAACAACAAGCACAACAACCAGCACAACAACAAGCACAACAACCAGCACAACAACAAGCACAACAACCAGCACAACAACAACGAGCATCAGGGACAGCCGTGGCAGACAGGCCATCGACAGATGCAACGTCATCACTGCTCCACTGCATGCGATGCACTGGCACAGATTAAATAAATAATTATAACAACCTTCATCTCCTTATTTCATATCATTACTCGCCGCTGAAACTAAATGTGCATTCTCTGAAATAGATTTTTTTTATGTATTCCTGAATGCAATTTAAATCCTACTTTCAATATAACTTCTTAGACGAACCCTCTGGGGTGCTATCCTGGTAGAAAGAGACGAATCTGCTCTGAGCCAAGGGCCACCAGTAGTGTTGTGCACAGTAGAAAGTTTGTTTGCTTATTATAGGGGGGGGGGGTACATTTTTCCTGGCGTTTCGTGGGATGCCTTTTCTGAGAACGAATGTTTAAAGTCGAGATGAAAAAGAGAGGAACACAAAGTCAGTCCCTTTAATGCTTCTGCGGACTACTGCTGGTTAATCACTGCTCCCGTTATTGGCAACAGCACCAAGCGAGGGTCGGACTGACCCTGCCGACTGAACACGGACTTGCTCTTAAGTTTGTGGTGGGCATATGCCGTTTTAATGCGTGGAGCAGCGATCAACGGGACTGTCATCTGGGAGAAGGACATAGCCTCCTAATTTAATGAACCCTGAACCATTTGCTGATTGCGGGTTCAATACTCACTCGCCTTTAACACAAAATCTGCACACACACACACACAACATGTTATAATGTCCCTGACGGCAGCTTTTAATTGTACAAGTATAAGTGATTTGTTGTGTCAGAGTGTGGATTTTCAATTTCAATGTTTTATGTTGAAGACAGCTTTAACGATCTGAGTAGCAACGGGAAGTGCATTTTTAGGTTTAATAGTGTTTCCCAAACGTGTGCTTGGCAATGTGGTGGTTTTGTGACGTTTAATCTTTCGTGCGTATATTAAAATAATAACCTGCCGAGCATCTGCGCGTCGGTAATAGTTTCGGTGAAAGCTCAGGGTAAGCTGAACTTGATGCCGTTCGAGTGGTGCAATGGGTTCCAATAGGGCACCGAGGGGAGCGGTCTCACTCTGCCACTGTCAGTAATTTTGCAGGAGCTGTGCAAATCCCAGCGGAAAATTATTGATGTTCGCCTTGTGCACCTTTTTGTCACTTGCTTAATGGTAAAAAAAATGTAATTGAACGGTTTGGTGATAAATGACATCGTTACTGCGGTTCCTGTGTTGATGCCTATGATGCATTCAGTTCATTACAGTGCTGTCTCATCTCACACGCAGCTGCTCCCCAGTTCATCTTGGCCCCTGAGGACCAGGTGGTGACGGAAGGCCACACCGTGGACCTTCACTGCCAGGCCCAGGGCAGGCCCCTTCCCGTCATCGCGTGGACCAAAGCGGGTACCCAATCGTTCGTTTGACTCCTACACCCGGGAATCGCCATGTGAATCAAATACGGTTCCGGACATCCGCGAGTAAACACGGTTGGTTATTGGGTTTTGCGCAGTTAAAGGTTGAACAGGTTAAAAATGATAACAATTTTATTCTTTATTTTCTCCTCCCCGCGCCACGTACCCCCACCCCCGTCCATCCGTGCGGCAGGGAGCCAGCTCCCCAGCGACCGGCGGCTCACCGTGCTGTCGTCCGGAACGCTGCGCATCTCACGCGTGGCGCTGCACGACCAGGGCCTATTCGAGTGCCAGGCGGTGAACGTGGTGGGCGTGCGACGGGCCGCGGCGCAGCTCACCGTGCTGCCCCGCTGGTGAGGCTCCGTGCACGCCGCACGCCGCCGCTTGCGGCCAGCACGGTTGGCTACGTGCGGTGCAAAAGAAGTTTAGCGTACATACACACATGCGTAGCGAAAGGGACGGCGAGACAAACGTTCAGGTTTAACGAGGTGAGAACCGGAGAGATCGAGAGGACCAGGATCCTCTTATTTGGCAAAATTGACTTGTGTCACCATGATGATAAAAGCAACAATATGCAAACAATTACAACAGTGGATTGAATAGAAATCTCGAAACAACAAAGAAAAACACAACCGAGTTGCAGAAGAAATCCATAAACTTTGCGCAAAATTGTAAATCAATATTGAATAAATTAATTTCCAGGAATAAAAGTTGGCCCAGACAAATAACTTTAAAAACCCATGAAAAGTAAAACTAAGTTACAGAAACTTATAAAAAGATTTAGAGTGACAAGTGGCGGTGATGTCACCACGGCGCTTGTGCCAGGCCAGGTGCACTTAGAGCAGCGGTCGGCAGCCTTCGGCTCCGAAGCCGCATGCGACTCGTTAAGAACTGCGGCTTCACCACGTGATTCACGTGGCATTGAGGCTCTTGAAATGTTTTATTAAGTACAAAGAAGGCAAGCGTAACTGGTTCCGTCTCCTCTTCACCTCCGTCACTCGTCACGCTGGATGATGAGGCTGTACTAACTTCGTCCACTCCTTTTTCTTTCTCTGCTCATCACGATAGCTCCTTCAATCTCCCTTTGTCATGACCACCACCGTCATCGTTAATTGCTTATTGTTTGTACGGCGCCTCGCATGCAGCGCAATGCGCCTGGCGCACGGACGGCCCGTGCCTTCCACGCGCGGGGCGTGAGACCTTCCGATGGCCGTTTCGTTAAACCGTTCTCGCGACGAATGCGAGCAAAAGGCGTCCGCGTGACTTTTGTGTCGAGGCTTCCCGCCGGCCTAGCATTCTCAGACTCTCACGGGATCCGTCGCGGCAAGCGCACGCCTCAAACGCGAGCCTTCGAGGGCAGCTTCGAGCGAAACGCTGCAAGTTGAACGATTGATGCTCATTCGAGTGCTTACTCCTGAAATCAATTTGAGTGTGCAGTTATTTTATTTTGACGTTTTCAAAGAACGTGTTCATTGTGTTAAGTGGAGCAGTTGGTTCACTTAATTACTTTTTAAGATTTTGTTTTGATGCTTTAAAAAGACGTGTAAATTTGTGTGTTAGTTGGATTAATTTGTAAAGATATTTAGAGGTTTGCTGTGTTTATTTTGTAAAGGAACATGCGAATTGTGTGTCAAGGTAAGAATTTGGTTTATCATAAAATTAACACTCGGGTTTCCACAGCCAGTATTACGTTTCACAATAGATTTTTGGGTTGTTGGCCGCGGAGTGATGTGGCCACATTTCCCACTTTGTGAATTGCATCCTCGCTTTCTGGGTCTTGTCCTGAAGATGCTTGGCATAAATGCAAGCGAAACGTCGAACCTAATTGCTGCTAAATTTGTTTGCGATGATCAATCTTCGACTCACGGCTGAGCGAGCTGAAGCAGTAACGGCCGGCGCGTTGCTAAGTGCTTGTGTCGCTCTGCTGGAAGGTTCCACGATGGAAATTTGACAGTCGTCAAGTGTCTATCGCTGTTGTGCCGTAACTGAACAATAGGTATAACCTCGTTCAATTCAAGAGATGTGTTTACTCTTAACATTAAAACATTAAATTCTGATGTTTGCTGCTCGCCGTTTGGGATTTTGGGCGCTACAAACCCGGCGACCGAAAATTAACTTCCCGCTCACGGCCAACACCAGTGACGAATATCTGAACCGGTTCTGGGCCTCCCCTAGGTCGACTCAGCCTCAAATGAGTACGTGGTGCGATGTGTAATCATTGCCACTCGTGTGCCATTCCGGCCTTCATCGGAACTCGCTAACAGCACTTGCCCCGATAGTCTGTTAAGGCTATGCGGGTTTTTTTGTCTTTGTGTGTATAACTTCTTTCGCACCGTACGTAGCCAACCGTGCTAATCGGAGGTGCGGGGGAAGGACAACAAACTAAACACCTGGGCCTGCGCTCAGCAAGTCGATCTGCTCCCTTCTGCTGCCAGTGACGCCGGTGTTCAGCGTCACGCCCAGCGACATCACCGCCGACTCGGGGCGCGACGTGCGGATCGCGTGCAGTGCGCAGGGGGAGCCCCAGCCCAGCCTCATGTGGGCCAAGGTGACTCGCCACACTCATCCATACGCACAACTTAGCTCACTGCGCTCAGAAGTTTAGTGCTCAGCGATTTGTAATTGGTAACAAGTTCCTGAAATTGTGGCTTAAGGAGATGAGATTTTTGTGGTTATTATTTTGTGACTATTGTTGGGTGATGCGCCTTTCGAGTTGAACGCCCGCTGCAATTCGCTCTGCGACGTCTTTTCGGACTGCGAGTGCGTGTCGTTCGTCGCCATGTCCGAAGTTTCGCTTCACATCCCCGCGAGTCCAGTCGACGGAGATTGTGAGCCGCTCCATTTAGCTCCCGAATAAGCTCCCCGGCACGTGGAGCTTAAACGTCGGGCGTCGTGCCCAACGGCACTCGTGGCGCACGAACCGCGACCGCGAATCAAAGGTTTTGCGCAGCGCGAGCCGCGAAACAATCCCCGCGTGGTAACGCCCTCCCCACAATTGTCCGTTATCGCCGGCAGGACGGGGTGCAGATCACGGAGAGCGGGAAGTTCCACGTGAGCGCCGAAGGCTACCTGGAGATCCGGGACGTGGGGCCCGCGGACCAGGGCCGCTACGAGTGCATCGCACGCAACAGCATCGGCTACGCATCCACCAGCATGCTGCTGTCCGTCACAGGTAGCGCCCTCGGGCGAGCGCCAGCCCCCGCCGTCACCCCCCTCAGGCGCCTACGTCGCTCAAGGGCGCAAACTTCCGTGGCGGCGGCTGACAGCTGCCGTCCCGATTGCAATGCGCGGCTGTGTTGCTGAAGTTAAACATCGGCCCTGCATTTTGATGGTACCCTAACACGTGGGCGGTGGGTGGGGGGTGGAGGAAATGTACCGCGCGCATGACGAGCCTTCCACCCGCACGGCGCGGATTTCGATGTGCAGCGTTGTGTGAGCGTATTTCATCTTCCGAGCTCTGTGTGCATTGAAATGTCGATGGAAGCTCAGCGGTGCGTGCGCCTCTAACGCGCTGGGTGGAGTGTGCGCGTCGGCAGTTTTTAAACCCTGTCTGTGTGTGCGTGCGCATGTCTCCGTGCGTGTGCGGTGGTGCTGGTGTGGGGGAGCGGTGGTGTAGTGGTTAGCGCTATGCTGCGCTACGAACCCAGTTTACCGGGTACGATTCCCGCTCACGGCCAACACTGGTGACGATTATCTGAACTGGTCCTGGGCCTCCCCTAGGTCGACTTAGCCTCAAATGAGTACCTGGTACGGTGTGTAAAACATTGCCACTAGGGAGACAAAGGCGGCCGGGCGTGGTGCTGGCCACCCACCTCCTCGTATGCCGTGCTGGCCTTCATATGTGCTCGCTAACAGAACTTGCCCCAACAGTCTGCTAAGGCTATACGGGAGATCTTTGTCTTTTTTTGTGTATGTCTGTTTGAATGTTTACGTGTGTGTGTTTATGTGTTTGTGTGTGTTTGTACGTGTTGTGTGTCTGTGTGTTTGTGTGTCCGTGTGTGCGTTAACTCGTCGTGCGGCCACCCCAGTGGCGGAGAGAAGCCGCATCGGGGACAGCTTCGTGGAGCGCTCCGTCCAGCAGGCGATCCACAGCGTGGACAGCGCCATCAACTCAACGCGCCGCGCACTCTTCGGCAGGTGCCGTGCTCCCACAGCGTCCCTGGCGGGGCCCCCGGGTTGGGCAGGGAAGGGGCACCGCGATCCCGAGGGCTGCTCTCGCCCCGTGCCCAAACGTTTCTCTGGGCGAGGGAAGTTTCGAGTTGATGTGTTTAACCAGGCGAGAACTGCAGGGACCAAAGGTAGCTGGCTCGCCAAAGTGACAGAGATAAAACGAATAACATGCAGTAGAGCAATGAAGCAAATCGTACGATTGGTTTGAAGTTACAGAAACGTGAAGCAGATACAGGGTGACGATTGTACAGAACGTTCTGACCTGCCCCTACTCTTCTGATTCTGAATAGGCACACTGACAAGGGTTCTGATGTCAAATGCCATTCTATGTGAGGCTATCGTAACTAAATGGATGGCTTTGCATCAAATTGTGAATGTAGTTGAAACTTGTCAACAACACTGCGGCCTTAAAATGAAAAAAAGTATGTAAAAACGGTGTTCTAAAACATCTCTAAAATCTGGTTGACATGTATATTGAGTCTCAACGAGGTTTTGCGGTGAATACTCCGCTGGCCGCAATGGAAAATGCTTCACGAACGAAATGGCGCGTTTATCTGAAGAACGGCTTCCCGTCAACCGTGGCAGCGTCCCCCGTGTCAAGGGGGATGGCGGGTTGGAGCCGCCTAATGAATCGCAAAAAAACGGATACGGGTCCGTTTCTTCTTTTTATTTAGCGTGCGGCTCAAAGAGAAATCAGTTGTCGGCGAGTGCACGCAGAGTCCGTCACGCCTGAGGTCAGAGGTTGGTCCGTGCGGATTCTGCCCAAACAATTGCTCGATCGGACTCAATGCGGCGGCACAACAATGCACCGGGGGGAGGCACGCCGCTGCTTCGAACGTTTCATGGGAGGGCTCGATTCGGGAAACGTTTGCACGACATGGTGGCCTGCTTTGTGAATTAATACGCAGCCCGCATGGGAACAATGAAACCTTTGGGAGCTTTGAAAGAAAAAAATATGGAAAAACTACGGCTGAATTCTTTTCTGATGGGAATGTCTACAGCATACGGGTTCAAATGCTTCACTGAAAAGTAAAAAAAAGTAACGCCAGCATCAAACGCCAGCATCGTTTTCAATAATTATAATAATATCCTTAAACGTCTGCTAAGAATTTCAGTTTGTTCGGTGGTGATATTACACGTTAATTTCGTTTCTCAACCACAAATGTGCTCTATGTTACAGACACCAGATCTAGCAAGAACTCTCAATGAGAAACAGTCTTCATGAGTAATGATAGCCAGGCTTAGCAACGTATCCAGGTTCACCATGATAGCCAGGTTGTGTGCACACAAAGAGATTGTTATCCTCCAAAGATGTCGGCGTCGAGTGATATCTGAACCAGTCCCGAGCCCCTCCCCAGCCACTCTGTTAACCAACCAGCACTGACGTCTGGTGAAGTATGGTCAAACAACCCTCATGGACAGACACGGCGCGGGGAGGCCTTCATCCAGCGGTGGATTGACAAAGGTGCTCTACGTACAGTCCGTGTCCTCCGTGACCGTGAGATGCTTTGGACTGTTAGATAAATCGAAAACTTTTGAGACTTTTTGAATGAAGAAAAAACATCTCCAGATAATGCAGTTTCTAGGGAAAGTGAGAAACAAGGGTGTGCTTCCGAAACTCGGGAGAATACAGCAATGGTGGAAGTGGCCGTGGGAGCAATAGATGCCACGTACCAGATTATAAGACGCACCATCAACTTTTGACTTAAAAGTTAAAAGGGATCAAAATTGTGTCACATACCCCCGAGGATACGGCACGATTCTACGAGGCGGCTGCTTCTCCCCAGAATAAACGCGCGCGTTCCGATGTGACTGCGAGCGTACCCCCGCTTCGGCCTCTCATCGAGCGTCATGCTCTCGCTCGTGACCTCCGCCTGATGAGTTTAACATCGGTGATTCCCGGTGGGGCGTGCGGTGCGGTGCCCCCCCCCAGGCAGCCCCACAGCCCCAGCGACCTGCTGGCGCTCTTCCGCTACCCGCGTGACCCCTACACGGTGGAGCAGGCGCGCGCCGGGGAGATCTTCGAGCGCACGCTGCAGCTCATCCAGGAGCACGTGGGCAACGGCCTCACGGTCGACGCCAATGGCACCAGTGAGTGGCGCGGTTGGAAGCGGGCAGGCCGCCCTGGTTAATCCCGCGCGTGTACCGACCGTAAACAAGTATAACCCGTAAAAACAAAGTTTTTCACTATAAATCCTTTATATGCGTGGCGGCTAGAGTCCTCTCGTCCTCTGGCTTGAGATGGCTGCCACCTATGGGTCAGATGATTGCGTGGCACCATTAAGTAATTGGTAATTAAATATAATATTTTTGTCCTAAAAAGTGTAAAATTGTCACGCACAACGAGTCTGTGTGGAAAATGTCAGCACGATTGGATCACGGGAAGTGGGTTAAAAAACGACCGAAAAATTTGCACGGTCGTAAGCAAGCAAGCGCGCAAGTGAACTTAATATAAAGTATTTAAAAATTCTCGCCGCCCGCTTCACGGTGGACGTTGAAGATCTCCTGAAGTCATCATCAACGAGTGGCCAATTCGAAATTATATGGCAGACGTATGCCCCGCTTGCAGGCCAGGTGCCAAGTCACTTTGTTTCCACGTAGGGACAGCTGCCACTGGGGGGTACCCTTCCAATGTTTGGGTTGACACGGGATGTAGTTGTTCATCTCGTCTAAAGCGCTTTTGTAGACGTGATCGCGAAAAGGGATGGCTGTCAAAAACATTGCATTAATTTTATTATTATCATGGGGTTGCCACCTCCAAGGTACAAAAATACGAAATATTTTGTTCTACCAAATGGTTAAAAGTAATCTGTACCAGCCTACTTGCATTGTAGGAAACGTATTTGTTCTGCAATGCATAGTTGTCTTCTCTCTAATGTTTGAATTACTTCCCGGCCGTACTTTGTTTTATTCCTTTTATAATTTTGGCAAACCCGGGTGAGTAATACAAACGAGACTCTCTCCCGGTCTCTTGGGTTCTCACCTGGTTAAATAAAATAGACTTGAATTTTAACCCAAATACGGGGGAAACTACATATGAACACGAATCATCATGAGCGTTGTATTATTGTTATTACTACGCAACTGGCAAATAACTTAGGGACTATTAACAGCCTGGGACTACTCAAGAGATTTGTCAGAGTAGCAGCTGCAATCCTGGGCTGTGTGGCGCTCGATATGAACTCCCTGTTTAACCCCCTTGGTGTCAAAAGAGCAGGGTGAATCTTGCGTGTAGTGCAGACGTTAACTATGTGTACTTTTTACCCATCAGCGGTTCTGCAGCATTTAAAATGCTGCAGAAATTAACACCTCTATTGTGTCTTAGACTGTGGCCTAATGTTTGAGTGTAGGCCATTGTGGACTGCCCTATTGTCGCAGTGGAACAAGGTTGAGTCTTAAAATAGTTTTGTGCCTTTTGTGACAGACGAGCACCGCACATCGCAAGCGTGTTCTTATCCTCGCGCGTGGTATTGGCGCCATTCCTATAGTGCAAGGAGATATCACGGAATTGCTGTTGCACTGACGGGTGCAGACCTCCAGTAGGGGGGTGATGTTGCGACATGGTTTTAATAACATTTTAAATGTGGATCATGCCGCCAGCACACGTGGCCCGGCCTTTTTACAAATAACACCACGGGATCTTTAACGTCCACTGCACGGCAGACGGGGTTTACATTTCGGTTAACGCAGCCGCCGTGCTCTGCGTGCGACGCGAGTGCTCGCGTCACCGGCGTGTGTGGCGTGCCGCCGCGTGGGTTCGCAGCGCTGTACAGGTTCAACGACCTGGTGTCGCCGCACTACCTGAACCTCATCGCGAACCTGTCGGGCTGCACCGCGCACCGCCGCTCCGACAACTGCTCGGACATCTGCTTCCACCAGAAGTACCGCACGCACGACGGCACCTGCAACAACCTACAGCACCCGATGTGGGGCGCGTCGCTGACGCCCTTCGAGCGCCTCCTCAAGCCCGTGTACGAGAACGGCCTCAACCGGCCGCGCGGCTTCACGCCCGAGGCGCCCGTCAACGGCTTCCCGCTGCCGGGGCCCCGCCTCGTGTCCACCGCCATGATCGGCACGGACAGCGTCACGCCGGACGACCGCTACACGCACATCCTCATGCAGTGGGGGCAGTTCCTGGACCACGACCTCGACCTGACGGTGGCGGCGCTCAGCCAGTCGCGCTTCTCCGACGGGCGGCCCTGCGGCGCCGTCTGCACCAACGACCCGCCGTGCTTCCCCATCGCGATCCCGCCCGACGACCGCAGGGTGCGCGACGCGCACTGCATGTTCTTCGCGCGCTCCAGCCCCGTGTGCGGCAGCGGCGTGACCTCGCTGCTCATGAACTCCGTGCACCCGCGCGAGCAGATCAACCGGCTGACCTCGTACGTCGACGCCTCCAACGTGTACGGCAGCTCGGAGCGCGAGTCGCGCGAGCTGCGCGACCTGGCCGGCCGCCGGGGCCTGCTGAGGCGGGGCGTCGTGCAGCGCTCGGGCAAGGCGCTGCTGCCCTTCGCCACGGGCCCGCCCACCGAGTGCATGCGCGACGAGAGCGAGAGCCCCGTGCCGTGCTTCCTGGCGGGCGACCAGCGCTCCAACGAGCAGCTGGGCCTCACGGCCATGCACACGCTGTGGTTCCGCGAGCACAACCGCGTCGCCGCCGAGCTGCTGCGGCTCAACCCGCACTGGGACGGCGACGCCGTCTACCACGAGGCGCGCAAGGTCGTGGGCGCGCTCGTGCAGCACGTCACCTACGCCCACTGGCTGCCCAAGATCCTGGGCGAGGTCGGCATGAAGCGCCTCGGCGACTACCGGGGCTACGACCCCAACGTCAACGTGGGCATCTTCAACGCCTTCGCCACGGCCGCCTTCCGCTTCGGCCACACGCTCATCAACCCCGTGCTCTACCGCCTCGACGACTCCTTCCAGCCCATCCCCCAGGGGAACCTGCCCCTCCACAGGGCGTTCTTCTCGCCGTACCGCATCGTCAACGAGGGCGGCATCGACCCCCTGCTGCGCGGGATGTTTGCCGTCCCCGGCAAGATGAGGGTCCCGTCCGAGCTGCTCAACACGGAGCTGACGGAGCGGCTGTTCTTCATGGCTCACACCGTCGCGCTGGACCTGGCGGCCACCAACATCCAGCGTGGCCGGGATCACGGCATCCCGCCCTACAACGACTACAGGGTCTTCTGCAACCTCACGTCGGCCCGCGACTTCGAGGACTTGCGCAACGAAATCAGGAACCCGCACATACGGGAAAAGCTCCGGAGGTACTGTCATTCACCGCTTCATTTACTTATTGGAAATTGATATCCTAATTGCATTGCCACTAATAACAAGCTCTGCGTCATGCTAATTGGCGAGCCTTTGATCAATGGCCACAGAGTCCGTTCCTCGGATTTCTATTGATAAATTGCGTGGCCGTAATTTCGTGAAGCTAAGTAAATGCAATTGTGTGTAAAGCTAATTGTTTACTTATGTTGTAGATGACACTTGAAATATAATATTTCTCCATTATGACGTGAATAATGACAGGGGTTTCTTTTTTCCTTCTTATATAGTTTAATGTCGCAGAAAGCTGGCCGAACGCAGCACACATTCTTGAGTTTATTTTAAATTTTAATATTATTATGTGAGAGAGGACACGTAAGGGAAGTGGAGCACGCGTGATGGGAGGGCCGAGTTCACTTTCCCAGCTCACTGGGCACGTGGCCAATGGCCCCCGTGCGGCCTTTGCTTCGCGGACTCCACGGAGCCCGGGCGGCACTGCCCTGCGCACCGCCCACGTGGTGGCCAGACTGGCCGGCTGGCTCAGCGGTGGAGCGGGCACCTCGCAAATGAAGCGTTACCAAGGTTACCAATTAAAATCCTACATCATGGGACCTCTAATGCCAGTACCAAAATATGAGAATAGGTTTTCCCCTTTTTTATGGCAACAAACAGGTGTTAAGTTGTTAAAACACCAAACTGACACCTTTTACAAGGAATCATGTCTGCATTAACCACAATACTTGTGGTCAGAATGCAAAAAAAAAACCCTCTGACTATTTATGCATTGTCCTTGAAACAGATTGGTCCACACCAGAGACAGCTTTCTTTTGAGCCTCGTCTCAAAACGGTGTTAGACCAGAGGACGCCAAAAGGCGTGCTCTGGTCTAACACCGTTTGGTGTTTTAACATCTTAACACCTGTTTTGTTGCCAGAAAAATGCGAAAACCTATTCTCAATTCAAATCTTGGTTGGGGGGGGGGGGGGTGCAGCACAGCCCCCTCTTCCTGCTGGAGTCCATGAGGGTGCCACGGTGGCGAGATGTTAACTACCTCGCCTGGTATAAGGGAGGTCGTGGGTTTCACCCCGACGCCTCTATATTCTCTCTCCGTGGTCGCATGGGTCCTCCTGTTTTTCCCTCCACATTTAGAATCAACGCACGTTTAGAGTATTTGGCCGCTAGACATTTCCACGTGATCAGCCATTTCGTTCAGCTATTATTTGTTGCCTTGGTCGCATCTGAATAAGAGCTACACAGCTCAGTGGGGCCTGACCTGGTAAATAAAGAAAATGTTTTAGTTTAGTTTATAAAACGAGTAGCGCTTGGTGGGGAAGTCAACAGTGGTTGTCATGGGGTAGAGACTCACCCCATGTCATAGGAATGTGGAATTTCCATCACTGGCTCAGAGCTGTAGACAGGAGATGTGCACCGGCTTTGCGCATCTGAAGGAGAAGAAGAAAGCACTCAGCCCATTTGGAGGCAGCGGGTGCAGTGGAGGGATTGACATGAACACGACTACTGACATTTACGCAGATTGCACCCGTCCACGTCAGTGCGTGGCTGTGTTGAGGGGTTCTTTGATAAATGTGGGAGGGTGGATTGAAAACGTCTGTTCGTTGCTCTCAGAGTTTGAGATTTCTTTCACCGTTGGCTCCAGGAACGGATTGGCTCTCATTACCTGAAGTGAACAAAATAAACCAAAGAGAAAAACAAGTATAACCCGAAAAAACAAAGTTTTTCACTATAAATCTTTTATATGCGTGGCGGCTAGAGTCCTCTCGTCCTCTGGCTTGAGATGGCTGCCACCTATGGGTCAGATGATTGTCTGCCAGTATTAAGCAATTGGTAATTAAATATTTAATTTGTTTTCCCTAAACAGTGTAAAATTTTGGAATTTTTTTTCACGAACATTAATTGTCTCGCACAACAAGTCTGTGTGCAAAATGTCAGCTCGATTGGATCACTGGAAGTGGGTTAAAAAACGACCGAAAGATTTGCACGGTCGTAAGCAAGCAAGCAAGCACACAAGCACGCAAGCAAGCAAGCGAACTTAATATAAAGGATTTAAAAATGCACGTTTCATGAAGGTGTGTAACAGGCTGTCCCTGACAACAACGACGACGAATACAATCGTGTGAATTTTCGTACAAGCAGACCAAGCGCTGAAGTTTAAGTCGCGGTTTGCGTGCGCTGACTCGTGATCTGGGGCCTGCGACCTCACGCTCGCTAATTGCTCCCAACCACCCGGTTTCCATGGCACTCCGCACTCTCTCATTTGGCATCACAATCACAGCGCCGTCCTTGGCGCAAGGGTTCACCACCACCCATTGCTCTGCCGCCTGCTAGCAGCTTGCAACGAGCTCCCCTCCTCCTCCGATTCAACTTCGTCCACTCGCCAGCCACGATGGGGCTGAGTGAACGCCTTGCACTGGCTCCTGTGTTTAATCAGTCTCACTGCTTCGGATAATTCTAGTCGTGTTGATATGGGGGTCTTTCTTTAGCACGTCCGTCTGGGTCTCTGCCTCCCTGCGTTCCTCTTTCCCTCCTCAAATGTGCGTGGTGCCAAATGCGGTGAATTCTGTCCAGACCTTCTGCCCGAGCAGTCGCTCTCTGTTCAGGTCTCCTTTATTTCATCATTATTACATTTTAGCTCAAGGTTTCATTTCCCACTGAATTTCTTCTCGGTCGCGAGTAGACCAGTACGGTGGCACGTGACCTTTAGCTCCAGCTAGAGCGACAGGTATACTGAAGGCTGTATGTCGGGTGCAGAAATATTTTTTGAGTCGTTGACCCAGATAGACGTGGCTGTGATTAGATCCTGATCTTAGGAACCTCGAAACAGTAAAGGTTAATCTCAGGCAGGAAGAAATCTTCCTCTCGTCTGTCTTGCTCCAGGACCAGCACTCTGACTCATACAGCAGCAGCAGCAACGGCTCAACTTCTGTCTTCTCACAGACTCGCAACTCAATTCTGATCGAATTGTTTCTACTTAACGGGTAGAAACTCTTCATGAAAGTGTGGTCCACTATCGTAGTTGAGCTTTTGATCCCTGAAGTTTTCACCACGCACCACTGCGGGCATCTTCAGGAGAGGCGCACGAGCCTGGAAAGGCAACGCTCGTAGACGCCGCCTTTATATTTCTGGGACCACTGCACGGTTTTACAACGGGCGTGATTTATACCGCCGGTCCCCGGGCGCCAGTGTGACACGTGTGCCAGTGCGACACGTGTGCCAGTGCGACACGTGTGCCAGTGTGACACGTGTGCCAGTGTGACACGTGTGCCAGTGTGACACGTGTGCCAGTGTGACACGTGTGCCAGTGTGACACGTGTGCCAGTGCGACATGTGTGCCAGTGTGACACGTGTGCCAGTGCGACACGTGTGCCAGTGTGACACGTGTGCCAGTGTGACACGTGTGCCAGTGTGACACGTGTGCCAGTGCGACACGTGTGCCAGTGCGACACGTGTGCCAGTGTGACACGTGTGCCAGTGCGACACGTGTGCCAGTGCGACACGTGTGCCAGTGCGACACGTGTGCCAGTGTGACACGTGTGCCAGTGTGACACGTGTGCCAGTGTGACACGTGTGCCAGTGTGACACGTGTGCCAGTGTGACACGTGTGCGTGCGTGCGTGTGCCAGTGAGACACGTGTGCCAGTGTGACACGTGTGCCAGTGTGACACGTGTGCCAGTGTGACACGTGTGCCAGTGTGACACGTGTGCCAGTGTGACACGTGTGCCAGTGTGACACGTGTGCCAGTGTGACACGTGTGCCAGTGTGACACGTGTGCCAGTGTGACACGTGTGCCAGTGTGACACGTGTGCCAGTGTGACACGTGTGCCAGTGTGACACGTGTGCCAGTGTGACACGTGTGCCAGTGTGACACGTGTGCCAGTGTGACACGTGTGCGTGCGTGCGTGTGCCAGTGTGACACGTGTGCCAGTGTGACACGTGTGCCAGTGTGACACGTGTGCCAGTGTGACACGTGTGCCAGTGTGACACGTGTGCCAGTGTGACACGTGTGCCAGTGTGACACGTGTGCCAGTGTGACACGTGTGCCAGTGTGACACGTGTGCCAGTGTGACACGTGTGCCAGTGCGACACGTGTGCCAGTGCGACACGTGTGCCAGTGCGACACGTGTGCCAGTGCGACACGTGTGCCAGTGCGACACGTGTGCCAGTGCGACACGTGTGCCAGTGCGACACGTGTGCCAGTGCGACACGTGTGCCAGTGCGACACGTGTGCCAGTGCGACACGTGTGCCAGTGCGACACGTGTGCCAGTGCGACACGTGTGCCAGTGCGACACGTGTGCCAGTGCGACACGTGTGCCAGTGCGACACGTGTGCCAGTGTGACACGTGTGCCAGTGTGACACGTGTGCGTGCGTGTGTGTGTTTGGTGGTGACGGCAGGCTCTACGGGACGCCTCAGAACATCGACCTCTTCCCGGCGCTCATGGTGGAGGAGCTGGTCCCCGGCACGCGCTTGGGGCCCACGCTGCTGTGCCTGCTGCTCACGCAGTTCCAGCGCCTGCGCGACGGCGACCGGTACGCACGCAGGCCAGCCACCACACGTGGACCGCGACGGTGACGAAGTGTTAACTTCCTTGCCTGGTGTACAGGAGGTTGTGGGTTCGATCGCACACCATGACGCCTGCTGCATATTTGGAGTTTGCGTGTCTCTCCGTGGTCGTGTGGATTTTTCTCCGGGTCCTCCGGTTTTTCCCTCCTCATTTAGAATCAACGGGCATTCAGAGTATTTGGCTGCTAAACATTTCCACATGATAGGCCACTTTGTTGAGCTGTCATTTGTGGTCAGGTCGCTGGATTATCGTTTTGGTATAGCGGCCCCCCGCCCAATCCAGATCACTGGTCCCCACGCCCCAGCCTCCACACCCCGTCCGTCTCCAGGTTACTAAGGCGACAATACAGAGAGAGGTCATGCATCCAGTCCTCCAGTGAACGGCGTGTTAGCAAGGCATTTGTTTCACATTGTGGATAAACGTGTTCATTTGTGTCTGCTTTTTTGGAGAAGAATGCCAATATCTCCGTCGCCTACAAGGGCACATGCATTCCCAGGGCTCTGGGTTTTAGCTTCTTTGTCAAGGTAGCCACTTTGTCAAGGTAGCCGTTTTGTCAAGGAAGTGTGAGTCTGGCCCCGCGTGTGTTCCTGGCTTTAATTGGGAGCGGTAGCACAGCGGTTCACGCTGTGTGATTTGCCCGGCAACCTGATTTACATTCCTGCTCATGGTCGAGACAAGTGATGATTATCTGAAACAATCTTGGGCCTCCCCTATGTTTACTCAGACTAAAATGAGTACCTGGTACAATGTGTAAACATCAGCATTGGGGAGACAAAGGTGGTCGGGCGTGGTGTGCGTGCCGGCCTTCATAGGTGCTTGCTAACAGAGCTTGCCCCAACAGTATATTATGACTACGTCCCTAGCCTTAAACAGTGACCATTGTTTCATATTCAGCTGAGTTATTCATATTTGGATTATTCAAAAAAGTTTTGAGAATGTTATTTTAAAAAATTAGAATTAGTTATACCATTAAAATGTTTAATGTTGAAATATGTTTTTAATCAACATCAAATGAATCCACAGAACAATGAGTCAACAACGTTCACAAACAAGTTAAAATCCATTTTCACATCGACTGTTAGATAGATATAAAATTATGTGTTTATGCAATCATCGCTACCTCGGGAATTAATTTGATTTTGACTTCAAAGGTTTTGGGTTTTTACCCGACATGTTATTCAATCCAATTGAGTTTTTAACCCAAAATTGGGATGCAGTATTGGCAGCAGCAGTGTTCACCGCTGTGCAATTGACTTGCACAGCAGTGAACAGATGTAACTCTTATTTTGGCACAACTCAGAACAACTAAAATAAGCAAAACAACTTAAGGGTCGGCCTTGTCAGTAGCTTTCAAGCGCATCGGTGGACCGCCATACACTGTTGCAGTTAACTCAGCCACACACACGCACACACGCGCACACACGCACACATGCACTAACACGCACACACATGCACACATGCACACACACACATGCACACACGCACACACGCACACACACGCACACACGCACACACACGCACACACACGCACATTTTCCTGTGGCAAAGTTGAGGGTTGTTTTTTCTTTAAACCTTCGTGCTCGGTCTCTGCATTTTTTCAGAGCGATGTGGCCCGGCATCCTTGGGCCTGATGCGCATTAACAAAATTGGCTGAGAAACTTTGCTGCCAGCTCGTGGGCTTCCTCTCTAATTTTGTGTGTGTGGTTTGCAAGCACAGCAGCGGATATTTTTTGAGCAGTGCTCTCCCCCAGAAGCACGCTTTTACCGCCGCATCTGCATAGCGATAGTTGGCAGCGTGCCGTCTCAATGGCTGTCATGTGCAACGGGGGAGAATTTTGACGGTCAATTTCGGAATGAGAAAAAAACGACACACAAGTGCAACTGTTAAGGCGGCGTACATAGTTTAGCGTTGTCAAAACACGGTAATGGCATTACTCGTGCCATTGTGCAGGTCAACACACTGGGCTTGCAATCCAGAGGTCGCCAGTTCGATTCGATCTCCCTGCGTGGCAGCTGAAACAACGGCGCACGTTTCTTGAATGCCTCAAACTGCTTCTCTCCACCCGGCGGTGTGAATGGGCTCACCAAAGTTATTCGATCGGCAGCTCGCGTCTGGCCAATGTGTCAGAGGGGCTCTCCAGAGCTCCCTCCACGTACGTACTTTGAACTTCTTTCGCGCCATACGTAGCCATCCGTGGTAATCGGAGGTGCGGGGGAAGGACAACAAACAGCAGCGAGGCCTCCAGCGTCAGTGGCACGAGCGAGCGAGCGCTGCACCGTCACCTACGCGTCGGCGGTTGACCGACCTCCAGGCCTTGGCTGCGTTTGTGGTGCGTGCGCGAATCAGGTTTTGGTACGAGAACCCCGGCGTGTTCACGCCGGCGCAGCTGACGCAGCTGCGGCAGGCGTCGCTGGCGCGCGTGCTGTGCGACAACGGCGACAGCATCGAGCGGGTGCAGCGCGACGTCTTCGCCGTCGCCGAGTTCCCGCACGGTTACGTCGGCTGCCAGGACATCCCCCGCGTCGACCTGCGCCTTTGGCAGGACTGCTGCGAAGGTGACCCCCGCCCGACCCCTCCCCGGCGTTACCGTAGCTGACCGGGAGCGTCGTTGCCGGGACGTGTTTTTTTGTTTTTACGCCGCGACACGATACCGATGCGCGCGACGTGACGGGTGTCGGGCAGGTTGACCGCCGACGCTTCAGCGCTGGTCATCATTGCGACTCGCAGGTTCACCGGGGCGGGGGGATTAGGAGCCGGGCAGGATTACCCATCCCGGATAGGATCGTCCTTGATATCGTATCGTACGGCGTGTAGCGGCATCGGCGCATCACGGCAACTCTGTGGCCCGGTGCCGAGGGGCACCGCCAGGAGTGCCGGGAGACGTCGTGGTTTTGGGATTGCCTCGGGCCGGGACCGTGGAGGCGTGGCGCCGAGAGTGCCCGCGATGACGGCGGCGCTGTTTGGTTACCAATGACGGTGGCATCGCAGCCATCATCATAGTGAAAGTGGCCGAGCGTGAGCTGCAACGCCACGTTATTATTTAATGAAGATGTACATCAGCGTAAGAGGAGCAGTGCTCGCAGCGGTTTGCGTGCCGCGCTATCGGCCACGGCAGCCTGAGCTCGATCCCCCTCCCCCCCGCACCTCACTCTGCATTAACCAGCTTGGTGAAGTATGGACCAACAGCTGCTGTGACACACATGTCATAAAAATGAACTGTGCTATGCTGTACATAAATACCATCTTCTGTGCATCTGCATTATTATTGCAAATAATGTAATTCCTCTCCGCAAGTTTCGTTCAGTATTCAAACTATTTTGTTTATTAAGCAGCACAGCAAGTATTGTGTAGTGTATGTGGGAGTGCACACGACAAGCTGATAAAGTGTGACTGTGAGCGCGTGTCTATTTTTTGTTTTGAGTTGTGCTTCTTTGTTGTTTTGTTTCCAGCCACCGTTATCAAATACATGCTGAACACTAAAAGAGCATAATAATGAGAATTCTTGGGGGGGGGGGGGGGGAAATTCAAGTCAGCAACTAAAAAAAAAGTGGATTTCATTGCACTGGTGTAGTTATTGAGGATTCTGTCATGGTGCAATGCTAAGGTTGTTGGTTTCGGCTCCTGGTGCGGAAGTTGGAATGAGCAAGTTTCTCAAATGCCTCCGATTAGTACGGTTGGTTACATGCGGTGGGAAAGAAGTAGAAACAGAGCTACACACAAATATACCCGTTCATACACGGATCCTCCACAGTCGGTCGATCGGCAGGTCGCGTGAGGTGGGCTAACGTGCGGGCATTCCCACCTTTTCCAAGACGTTTGACCAACGTGGAAGAGTAGGCCAAACACCCTCTAGAGGGGCTCTCTTGAATGCTCTTTAATGGAGGCCCTCGATCCATCAGTGGCGTGAGTAGGCAGGTGCAGAGCTGCAAATGTGTGTTTCTTTCTCACTGACAAAAATGAATGAAGCGTGGATTTCATCGCAACGGTATCCAAACGACTTTCAAATTTAGCACTTTCGTCCTATTTTGAGTTTTTTTTTTTTTTCCAGTGAAATCTTTTGGTGTAAAGTTATTCGAGTAACTGCTGCTCTCTGTCTGACACTTTTACGTGTTTTTTTTTGTTACAGTTTCAACACGCTGAACTTTTTCGCTCCCTGTTATCAGAAAAAAAACCGAGAGATAATACAACGCAGATGGAGGGAGCGGCCGCGAGCTGCTGTGCTTCGCTTGATATCTTCAAAGGATAAAAACGTTTTAGTGCGAACTTGCATACATCTTTTAGAACAAGTGCATTAGCCTGTGACATTTTAACTTACTATTCTGAAAACAATGTTGTTTTCCTTTCTAACGTTTGGTTCTCGGTAACTTGTAGCGGACATGCTCCGTGTTCCGAGTGTGTGCAGGGCTATGGGGCTATCTTGCTTTCATCTCGGCCTTTCAAACAACCGACCCAGTCGGCTTGCGACGTGCCCAGTTGATGAATAGCTTTGCCCTGACTGAGATTAATAAAGTCGACATTTGTTCGTGAGGGATGCATTTTAAACATTGTTTAATTGCCGTTTAGGATTCAAATTGTTTTGACTCTTTCATAAAATTAAGTTGTTGATGTTTCACACGACGATTTCCTGATCGCTGCTAGGCTGGCTTGGAGCAGGGATTATCACCGTAAGGTACTGCCACGAGAGTGCAGGGTACACCAATCCACAGTGAGCCCACGTCGTGACACCCTGTGTATTACTACACTCGTATGAGCAGCTTCATAGGAATATAGGGAACAAGAAGAACAAAAAAAAGCCAAGATGGCTGCATCGTTGCCAAACTAATTCTCAGAAAGAGCGTTCCTTGACTGTTCCGGTCGAGATGAAGCTCTGCACTCAAGTTTCCCAAGAAAAGCCGTGATTCTGTTTGGCAAGAAAAATGTATTTCTCCGAAATAATCAGAACGCCCAACATTTTACACTTTTGTCCGAAACACGCGACAAAGGAATGCCCGCTTTGATGTAAGCATGCGCACTGGATCACTTTAATGTGCTGAGTCCAGACACGTGAACGCCGCCGTGCCAGTGAATTTCATTCGGGAATGTTTTTTTCATGCTGCTCGGAATTTTGTCATCTGTCAGGCAGGCCCCGTGCAGCGCGGGCTCGCAGACTTGTGGCGTGGAGAGAGAAGAGAAAGTGGCTTTAAATAGATTGTTTGGGCTCGTGCCACAAAGATGTGTTGCTGAAATTGGCTACACGCCATAACCTGACAGCCCAGGTGAACAGCGCCATCCTTTAGGCTGCACCGTCGAGGCAGATTTATGAAGTGCAAGATATATTTTACGCACACAGAACTTCCGTGCCTCTGTATATGTGCCGAGCGTGGATGTACATTTGCGATAAAAAGTATAGTACTGACGTGATTATCATCATTATTATTATTATTCCGGCATGGATATTGTGGTACCACTGCACCACCGCACGTAGATATACGGTGTATAATGCAGCAGCAGCAGCAAACGCACGTAAGATCGGCCCTTGGGAGCAAGGCCTTGTGTGCTCATATCCACAGTGTGCTTGTATCAGAAGCTGCCCGTTAACCTTGTCCCCACTAGTGCAATGTAAGCACGTGTTACTCAAAACTGTGCGTATACCCAGTTTACACAGTACAGTTCGACAACAAAACACCATGAGGTATATATTTGTTTGTATTAAAAAAAAAATTCACCTGCCAAATCCCTTGAGGTGGTGAAACAGCTATCTCTCGTTTGCTGAGGGTGCCCATCGGACGCCGACTGCCGTTCGTCCCACCGGCTGTTGGCAATGAATTCGAACCCCCGGGTCCCCCCGTGCCGCAGGGCTGACGCGAGCCGCCCCTACCGCTGTGACAGATTGCAGGAGCCGTGCACAGTTCCAGTCGCTGGGGCATCACCAGCGGGGCAAGCGCAGCGCCCTCTTCAGCTTCCCCGGAGAGGGCCCGGAGAGAGACACGCGGCACGGCGAGCGCCAGCCTGCCAGGTGGGGCGTCGTCGTCGTCATGGACATCGTCGTCAGTCGATCATCACGACCGTCATCGTCATTGTTCGAGCATCATCAGTATTAGATCACCTCTGATTAGCACGGTTGGCTACGTACGGTGCGAAAGAAGTTCAACATACATACATCATTATGATTTGATCATTGTCATCATGATCAGCATTACTAGATTGTCAGGACGGTCATCATGACGGTTATTGTCACTATTTTATAATTATTTTATCATAATGGTCGTCATCTTCATTATCATAATTTGAACATCATAATTATCTAGGGCATCGTCAGCATCGCCATAATAATCATCATTAGATCATAATTTTTCAAATAATTTTATATTTCACCTGTAAAATCCCTTCAGATTGAAGATCTCCATTGAAAGGTGTCATCATCACCTCCGATTAGCACGGTTGGCTGCATACGGCGCAAAATAATTTTAACATTCAGTACACACACATACTCATCATCAGATCAACATCCATCCCTGTCATCATCTTTCCAGGAAAGTGCCTTTCTCAACACAGGGCCTCACTGTGCAGACGAGGGAGTCGACAATTATCGTGCTCTTCCTCGATTTGAAGCTTTCGTGACTGCAAAGATTCATATTCTTAGGTTTTTTCGGTTAAGTCACGTAAGTAAAACATCAAAATAAAAATAAAATAAAAATAAAAATCACGACGTTTCGGAGGCAACACAAGTCTCCGTCATCAGGTGGGACCGTCACAGCCGAATTAGCTGCATCAAGTGAAGCAATGATGCTCTGTTGACTTTCTTTGCTGTAGCCGCTCGTACTTTCGTTTGTTTCCATGACCCAGGTGCCCCTGAAATAGAGACTTGTCGTCTCGATGGGCCCCCACCTGGTCATGAACAGAATTCAAAATCTGCCTCTCCCCCTGGTTGAGGCCAAGTGTAAAGCAGTTGATAATTAGTATGCAGTGTTAACATAATTAGTATTAACTAGGTCGGTATCCCTAAAGATGTGCGGTTAAATGGATACCCCTGAAGCGATATCTGAGTTTCATTGCTTTGACACGTTCAGGATGTGTGAATGAACGCGAGTCGAACGCTCGAGCCAGATCTAACAGAGAGAGAGACGGTTGTTGCTGATGCACATCTTGCAGTTCACCAGCATTGATTCAAGCGAGCCTGACTCGGCTGGTGAGGCGCTGAATGTCAAAACCAGTGACAAGATGCACTCACGGGAGGCCGCGTCGCCGCCGATGGGATGTGGAAAGACACACGCGAACATCATCATTTACATCAGCCGCACCAAGTTTACACAACAAAGGCTCATTCCTAACAGCGTGCTTCAGCCGCACCGAACCTCACAAAAATAATATTCAGGGCCTACCTTGGCTCCTCACACCCTCAACCAGTATATATACAAATACTGTTTTCTTGGAATTTCTCTCACTTGATACAGCAATCGTGCTGTGACGGTTCCACCTCAAGACGGTAGCTTGTGTTGCCTCCGAAACGTCGTGATTTTTATTTTTATTTAACTTTTATTAATTTTTATTTTTTACCTACGTGACTTCACCGAAAAAACCTAAGAATATCATGATGATGATGATCGCGTCTAAAGCGTGGTCAGCGCGGTCCAAAACTAATGCGGAGGATGTAGGACGTTGGCAGGAAACTTTTGCTTTCATCAGTTCCTCACCCCCCCCCCTCGCGATGGTAGTTTGCACCGATAGAAAGAAAGTAAAACATCCTGCCTCCAAAAAAACACACAAGCACAAGCGTTCGCGGAAAGGACCGCTTCACGTAATTAATTGTGATTTACGAGCTGACATCTGCGTTGTAAAGGACCCTTTAATCTCGCTGTAATCACTCGGGCTCTGCAGATTGTTGAACAATGGGGTGGTGCTAGCTGGAGCAACAAGGCGTTGCAGGCAACAAGGCAAAGACGACAAACGATGGCGGCTAAGTTGACCGCGTCTGTCACGCGGCACGTGCCGAGGGTGTCCCCCTCCCAGAGGTCGCAAACGGGTACCCGATACCCGTACCCTACCCGATACCCAGCTACCCGTACCAGGCCAGGTACGGGTACGGGTAGCCGTTTGCGACCCTGGTGCGGCCGGGTACAGGTAGGCCGTGAGTCACTGGTGAGTAACCGTTTGTCACTCATTTCGGGTAGGGTATGGGTACGGGTAGGGAACGGGTACCCATTTGTGACCCTGGTGCGGCCGGGTACAGGTAAGGAATCAAAACCCGTTTGCGACCTCTGCCCCCTCCGCCGAGGCACGACGCGGTGGGATGCGTCCCCGGGTACGCGGATCTGGAGGGCTACAGACGCAACGAGTTGTTTGGCAGTGGATCTCGGCGTGGCGCATGACGAGGTTGTTGACTCGTCTCGGCTGGGACTCAAAGACGTCGTGCTACCCGCGAGCAAGGGGGGTCCCTCGCAGAGGCCGCTCGCTGGAAACCGCAAACCTCGCGCTGTCCGCCCAACTCCGCTCTCACGCCCCTCGCTCTTTATGGGGTTTGGTTGTTTTTTTTAAACGCCAGAGCGGCACTTTATTTTTTCTTCCCAAGACCTTCTCTCCCGGTCATTGCAGATATATCTGAACCGAGGATCTCCCCTCTTTTGACGTTAAGAGGCGCTCACTACCTGGATTTGTCCCAACAGCCCATCTAGGTTCTAGATTTGAAGTATTCGTGACTACAAGGATCCATACTCTTTGGTTCTTTCGTCACGTAGGTGAAAAAAAATTAAAATAACTAAATTAAATCACGACGTTTCAGAAGCAACACAAGCCTCCGTCATCAGGTAGGACAGCCACAGCAAGACAAAAAACCCATCTAGGCGATGCGAGGCGTCTTGGGGTTGAGCTTATGGCGCAGCTGTTAGTGCACTGGGCTATGAATCTTCTGGAAAGCCGAGTTTCATTCCCGGCCACGGCGGCTCATATCAGTGGCGAGGGGATGTCTACCCTGATCCTAATCCCTCTTCCCCCGTCACCAGCGTAAACTGACCAGCGCGGTCGAGTATGGTGTATTGTCAAACAAGCCAACCGCCGATGGGGAGGTCTCCCTGTTGTGAGCAGGAGATTCCAGGGCTGCACCTTTATCTTTAGATGTTAGGGAGGTGGTAAGGTAGGTTCAGAAGTATGTACGTATGTGTGTATGTTGAACTTATTTCGCACCGTACGTAGCCATCCGTGCTAATCGGAGGTGCGCGGGAAGAACAACAAACTAAACACAAACAGAAGTTTTAAAGAAATAAGCTTTCATTCTAGATTTAAAAGTGTATAGCTCCAGTGGCTTCCTAATATCGGAAGGAAGAGCGTTCCAGACGGCCACAAAGGAACATCTGAAAGCATTTGATGAAGTGAATGTCTTTGTTTGTTGAGTATGAGCTGGGTGAGGGTATGGTGGCTTCATTGAGCCTGTGATTGCTGTGGTGAATGTTTTTATTTTGCTTTGTCAGTGCCCACAACAACAGCTCAAACTTGACTTCAGCCAATGCCATCCCGAGGCATCAGGATATCGACCAGATTGATTTCCGCTTGTTCGTGGACGACATGCAAAAGACCATCAGGACGCTACGTCAGCAGGTACTGAGCTTTGAAGTCATCAATTGCGAGAGTAGAGATTGCCGGCAATGAAATTCTGTTCATTTTTTTATTTAAAGCTTTCGTGACTGCAGGGATTCATATTCTTGGTTCTTTCGGTAAAGTCACGTAGAAGAGAAATAATAAAATAATATAAACATAATATTTCCCTTCTACGTGACTTTACCGAAAGAACCATGAATATTCTGTTCATTGTTTGAGACGTTTTAGAGCATTGCATGGCACGGGGTGGCTGGGGCAGCAGTGCACTGCAACTATTCCCAGCCACGGTTGAGCATCAGCAGCGAGTGATCGCTAAACAAATTCTTGCGGCCTGACCTTTCGCCAACCCACGCTGACCAGTGTGGTGAAGTATGGTCGAACAAACCCCAGGGCTGACTTGTAATGGGGATGCCTTCACCCAGCAGTGGATTGACAAAAGGCTGTAAAGAATATATATATGTTATTTGACATATTCAAATCACGTAATATTCGAATGAAGTGCTCAGGTGCTCTCTACACACCGCGTCTATAGCGGTGTTCCGTACGCGTAACCCTCCAGTCGACTTGGAGCTCTGTTTGCGATCCATCGCAAACTCTCCAAACTTCAGGCTGCGTTTCGCACAGATGCACACACACACCGGGAAAGAAAAGAAAAGTCTAAAGTCATTTATCCGGGGATAAATATGTGTAAATCACTTCAGCACACACGCTTCGCTTTTTGCCACGTGCATCCGTCCCTTTTTGTGTTAAGTGATGGTGCAAATATTCAATAACACATTTACTCGGAGAAATAATATCCCACTGGTGTCCGCTATATCGCGGTGGCGGTGGTAGGGGGGTTGGATGCATAGTTTGTTGCGGTAACTCAGCGTGTTTGTGTGGTGGTGGTGGTGGATGTCACGGACTGCGCAGATCCGCCAGCTGGAGGGGAGTCTGCAGAGCGACGGCTGCGTCGATGCCGTGGGGGTGGTCCGCTCGCAGGGCGACGAGTGGAGGAAGGACGACTGCACCGCCTGCCACTGCAAGGTGAGTCGACGGGGCCCCGATGTTAATTTACGTGGGGACATTAAAGTCAGAGCAGTGACAGAATGTAGCCGTATATCACCAAAGTGCTGCGCCAAAAAAAAAAATACTGCTGGGCGTGCATCAGCTTTGACAGTTTATATAGAATGAGAGGCACAGAAGAGTGGTGTTTTATATTATTATTACAAATATAATACTTGTAATATACACACAAGACACAATTCAAGTGCAGCTCAATGTGGCTCAGTGGTTCAGATCACGTTTCACATCCCATGACATGGAACTGCAGGAGTGGCTCTCCGGTGTCCTTTTGGGTTGCGCCGCGTGTCGATCAGGCGTCACGTCCGACATCTCGCTCCACGTGCCCTTCGGTGGGAGCCGGCGGAGCTCCCAGCGCATGGCATGAAACGTCAGGCATCATGCCGAATCACACGGCGGCACAACCCGAAAACACATCAGGGAGCGACACGGAAGCACAACCGCAGAAAGCTACGGCGCAGTGGTCGAGTCGATTCGAGGTTAATTTCCCTTAAACGCGTGGCGCCTTTCCGGCACGAATCTGCCCACTCGAAGCGCGGACATCACGTTCACCCTCGTAAACATAACAATTGAAAATTCTACACAACGAAAATAAAATATACCATGTATAGTTGCTTCGAAATATCACAATGAAAGCAATTTGTCGCTGCGGGTTAGTCGCTCCGCGCAAGTGCAAAGCGCGGTGTGTTTTGAGTTGCGACCCGAATGTAGTGATGGGAGTCGATCGCGATGTGGGGACGACGCCTGCCTCAGGCTGCGCGGCGCGTGTCGCTGGTTCCTGACGGCACCCGCGGACCGTCCGTCGCGTGCTCTCCGTTGCGCAGGGAGGCCAGGTGACGTGCTTCGTGGAGACGTGCCCGCACGCGCGCTGCGCCAGGCCCGTCACGACGGAGGGGCAGTGCTGCGCATCGTGCGACGGGGACTCGGCGAGGGCTCCGTGATCGGAGCGGTGCCGGCCACGAAGGAGGAGTGTTCCAAATCAGTCGCGTTTCTGTTCAGTGAAGGGAAATTTACATTTCTTTGGCAATTGCAGCCAAGCACTGTACCTTTTTTAATTTTATATAGTACTAAAATAATAATGTTTTGGAAATGTGAAGTCTGGGAAGTAACGACCACTCTGCCTTTTGAAGACGTTTTACATTTGAACATTAGACACGATCTCCAGCACGGCTGTTGTTAATCCCAAATAGCTCAGGTTTCGGATTCCGTGGCGATGCCATCGTCGTTCTGATGCCGATTGATTTCCTGCCTGTCTGTGCCATGCAGTAGCATTCGCGGGAGGGGAGGGCACGCTCCCTGCCCTCTGCCTCCGTGTGTACTTTTCAACAACAACTACAAACAACAGCGCCACACTTTATTTTCTCCTGTATTATACAAATATACGCGATTTTACAAGTAGCTTAGGTCTTGGGTTGATACGATTCTCATTTGCAATGATTAATGTGCTCACACGTCCACACGCCTATGTCCAAGTCACCCAGAATGCATAGTAAACCGTTGGTGGAAGACGTTGGCTGCAAGGGCTTATCCTGAAAAATGTAGCGAATTGCAAACCATGTTACGGAGGCAGTTAATTGTTTTATTGTCTTGGTCGAAACGCTTGCGTTAGACCAATGTGTTGAATTTTTATATTACAATATCTATGCAAATCTATGACATCACCTAGAATGCACCTGAACTCATCACATCTCAGAAGCTGAGCGTGATCTGAGCCAGGGTAGCACGTGTATTAGGTGACCACGATGTTTATGCCAGGTGCTATAGGCTACCACGGAGCTACCTTGCGGCAGAAGAGGGCAAGTGCAGCGAAGTCCATTTTGTTTGCTGTATTCTCCCACATCCATGTTTCCACCTTCACAAACGGGCACTGACCAGCGTGGAGAAGTATGGCCAAACAACCCACACGGCGTGGACAGGCCCTCATCCAACAATGGTGGATTGACAAAAGGGTCGCGCGTGTGCCAGGACGTGCCAATCGTATCAAATGATTTCAGAGTTCAGTGAGATTATGGTTAGTTTGCAGCTTGTAAATTCCAGCACCGGTATGTGTAGCAACAATACAATGACATTCACATTCAATACCAGACTTGGGCTCACTATAATGGTGCTAGCATTCATTAGCCCCTTTTTCCACTGGTGCATCCGAGCCATGCTTGGGCCGTGCCAAGCCAGTCCAGCACGGGTCAGATGCCCGAGCCGTGCCTTTGGTGTCAAATTCAATAAACAAGTCAAGATGCGTATAGATGATGCGGTGACGCCGTGACGTCACGGCGTACGAATGTCACGCACGCAGTGAACGAGTCGAGACGAGTATTACATACGACGCGGTGACCTCCCAGCTTATTAACTGACATCACATGCAATGATGCGTTATTAACTCCACCCCTGGCCCATCTTGGCCCTCAGCCAGATTCCGATGTTTCGTGAGACCAGCGTAGTGCGGTGTGGTCACGACTCGACTCTGCAAATAGCCGGTGGAACAACCGCCCGTCCCGTGCGGGAACCCGCGGTGGCTTGGCTCAGATGTCCCAGTTGGAAACGGGCGTTTTTGAAATGTATTCGGGAAAGCCAGATGTGTCATGTACGTTGAATTTATTTTCGCACCGTACTTAGCCAACCGTACCAATCGGAGGTGCGGGGGGAAGGACGGCAAACGAATTCACAAAAAGTAATCTTGGACACAAGATTACTTGGAGACCGATTGGATGGGATGATGTGTTTACGTTGTGTCGCAACCCTTATTCACCTCCATCTTCTCACAGTCAAAGTCTTCCAACCTCCCATCCATTCCCATCCGCCAACGATGGCAGGCATTCACTCTGCAGACAATTTTTTAATGCAATGTGCTTTGGAAGTGTAATTGATGTAGAGTGCATGCACATCCTTCAACCACAAGTGCATTTTACATTAGGCTGAAGTTTTATGCCCATTCAGCCAGTGTACAAACTTATGTAACAAAAATGTCGCTTTTCTTGAGGAAAAAAAACATGTTTTGGAAAACTAAAATAAGAGACTTTAAAACGTGGTACTTTGCGATTGCATCGCCATAATTTTATTAAATTTTAAAGTACACCATGTTAAAATGGAATTAATGGCATGATCTGGCACACAAGGATTTTAATTCAAGCAAGTTTAAATCCAATTTGTTTGTAAAAAATTTAAATAAAATAATCGTGTTCGTTTCGCAATCTTTGTACAACTGTTTAACCTCTTTTTTCAGTTCCGTTGCGTTCGGCGCCGCGTGCGGCATTAGCAATGCACGCACATCGGTCGTCTGCGCGTTGCTCGTGACGATGCGTCTCCCAGAGCACGAACTCCCCTCTCCTCTGGTCGCACCGCGTGAGCCTCGTTGCCAAAGGTGGCCTTTGCCCACCCCCATCAAGGAGGTGGGTGGCGGTGGGGCCGCGTGCCTCAAACACCATGCACCTCGCGACCTGCGCCAACGATGATTGAGCGCATTGGCATTTGTGCTGCGCGCGACAGATTCAATGTATCGCAAAAAAATAAATCAATCTCTCCAGTTATGGGAATTGGCCCCGCCCTGGAGAGGACGTGTTAGTTTGTCTGTGCTCATTGCTGGCCAAGTCGATGCAAGAGGTGGCTGTGAGAGATCGTGTGCAGAGTCAGCAGAATTGGACCGCGAGCTAAGGGATGCGCCAAATGTTGCGGTGTTTGCACAGTTTTGCACGTTCTTATCCGACGCGCATACACTCCCCGTTTATGCTCGAAATAGAAGGTGAACACTGGGTTGTTTATTACTCACGTGTTTTAAGCTTTACACGTGCGCTCACAAATGTGTGGTTGTGATGCCTCACACACCGGCTTCATGTTTTATTCTACACGGACCCCTGACTATGAATGCATTACATATTTTTTTCAACAAAACATGTGCAAGAAAGCACAGCACCAGCGTACACGGCATCTGAACAACCAACAACAAAAACGATGTCACAGTCAGTGCCCCTGGCTATGCTCAGGAAAACAAATTCAGTACGTGCATTTTTTTAATCAGCATTCAATTGTGTGCAATACAATCATGGATGTGCATCCAATAACCGAAACGATCTTAAGGCTTTCAGAGAATATTTATAGTTCAAACTATAAAACGTAGCCTTGCACTTGGCTGCTATCCCAAACTATGGGGTTGTGGCCTTGCCATACATATATTGCGGATGCAACGCAAGCCAAGCCACTCAGACCTCTGGTCTCAAGGTCTGTTCTGGCTCAGGCCCTGGTGTCAAGTCGAGTTAATCACCTCTGGCAAAAGCCCTGCTTTTGCTGTAGCCAGGGCCATACTCAGGCCACCGGCAAAATGGTCTCACCGTGTGGCGCGTCTGAGGGTGTCCTGGACAGCGGAATAAAGATATCAATGACAATCATTTACCCAGGGAAAGCCTCACTGAACCTCGAGGCTCCTCACTGATACAACGACGGGTTTGTGTGTGAGAGAAGATCATGGCATCTGGAGGACACCAACCAAGGCTAACGAGGTCTGATGCCTAGCATCATTGTCTCCTGGCCTCGCCTCGCAGCCTCACGACGACACGACCTGGCACGCACGGAGCCCTCGCAAGTAAATATAACCCTCAATCCTGCGTGGCTGCCAAGATCCGACGAGACCAGGAACATTCGGAGTGATTTTGGTCATTATGAGACTTCTAACACAGGGGTCGACACTTTCATGTCGCTGCTTCTGAACATGACGCGGCGTTACATTCACAAAATGCCACAAATAGTTCCCGCCACGGCACAATACTTACACATCTCTAGGCGGCCTGGACTTGCAGCAAGAAAAAACTCTCTTCAGTGAGTGTGCGGTGAGTGTGTAGTGAGTGTGCGGTGAGTGTGCGGTGAATGTGCAGTGAGTGTGTGGTGAGTGTGCGGTGAGTGTGCGGTGAGTGTGCGGTGAGTGTGCGGTGAGTGTGTGGTGAGTGTGTGGTGAGTGTGCGGTGAGTGTGTGGTGAGTGTGTTGTGAGTGTGCAGTGAGTGCGGTGAGTGTGGGGTGAGTGTGCGGTGAGTGTGCAGTGAGTGTGCAGTGAGTGTGCGGTGAGTGTGGGGTGAGTGTGCGGTGAATGTGCGGTGAATGTGTGGTGAGGAGCACCATGAATAGCCATCCATTCGCAGCAGACATCAAAGTTTCGGAGGGTTCGATGGCAAGTAAACTGGTTTGGCAGTTGTTTGCGCCATAAAAAACATCCTCGGCAGCGTTTTTGGACCGTGTCCAAACCTTACATCATCTTTTATGCTATAGATTTTACGGTCACCTAGGTTTCATATAAGCGAAATCCAAACATTGCATGATGATTTAAGCCACTGTTGATCTGTAGCATAACACTTTCTGACTTGTTTTATTAAACAAGCGTAATGCTAAAAAAGACAAAAAAAATGTATCCCTTAAACACCCGGCGAGGTTGTCCAGCAGCAGCAGGGCGAGCGGCTCGCAATCGAAAGGTTGAGAGTTCAAATCCTGGTTCGGGGGAAGCGTCCCGCCGGAGTTGATAAAATGAGCACCACTTCGTAGCGAAGTCAACAGTGGTTGTCATATTGGGGGACTTGCCCCCGTCATAGGAATGTGGAATTTCACGGTTGGAAAGTGGAGATGAGCGCTGCTTCAACGCTCCATTTAGAGCACGAGGTCACTGACTGAAGTCGCAAGGCATGCGAGAGCGAGAACGTTCATGCTGCACCAGAAAGACTTTGACGTTCAGAAACAGTGCGGAACCCTTTTCATGAACGCGCGAGACGGTGTTTTGGGTTTCATGAACAAAGCGTTTTTGTTCAATCCACGCCAGAGATGTTTTCCCCGCGCCTCGGTGGCCACATTACCATGCCGAGTGATGATGCCTTCAAGGTCACACTCGACACACTTGAAGGTAGAAATAACAAACACGCCGGTGGACATTGCGTCCGTCAGCACCTGTGCACTCTAGTTTGACCCTGACACCCTTCGCTTATCCCAGCGCTTGACGCTTGGGCTCAAGGAGCGCGCCTGCCGCGTGCTCCATCGCAAACGCTTTCAAAGGAACCTCTTGGAAGAGCGCAAGGAAAGGCCGTGAAGATGGAATGGCCTCGAGGAGCACGGCGTTCACACAATTGCGGCTCGAGGCTGTGGCCACGCGGCGAAGGACAATCGTTGAAGAATCTCCTCGGGCGATCGTTTGAAAACACTCGCATCGTTTCGCGAGGGCAGCCGCCGCGAGTGGAGCGACGCTATCGGCGTGTGCCGTGCGGGGCGCTGCGGCCTCCGCTGCATAGCGGACGCAGCGGAGGCCGCTGTCAGGGTTCCCGTAGCGTGCTGAACGCGCCCCGCGATGACACTTCAAACGTGGCGCGCGGATAAGAATGATGGAGACGCTTTGGCATTCACGCTTGCAGTCGTGGATAAAATAGCTCGTTTCTAAATGTTGCATTGCGTACACTGCTCTCAATAGCACGTGGGCGTTGTGGCAACCCACGTTTTGGCGAGGGTACCATATGATTTAATAAATGTTTGAATGTATTGCTTTAATTACGTGTGTATTTTCTCATTTATTTGGAGATGGATTTTGTTATTGTTGTTGTCGCAAGCCGGTGCTAACAAGAGTTGTATCGTGTCTGCAGAGAGTACACGTTTGGGCTTTGTGGGCTACTGGTACTGACAGATTTGGTCATAACCAGGGGTCAGCAACTTACGGCTCTGCAAGGACTGGGCTCGTGACGTTCTTTATCAATGACCGCCATCTCGTATTCACCGCGTGCTTTGCGGGGCTTGGAATATTGAGTTTGTATATGTGTGCAGTCATTGGTGACCAGGCTGAGACAACTCACTCAACTCTAAACAGGTTTTCAAATCCTGGCATCGAACCCACGTTGTCTGCTCAATGCTCTGCCACGCAATTCACCACCGAACCTCCTCGCGTGAACATTCTTATCGCTCGCATTGCGGCACGCGACGAGTAGATCACGGGGCTTCATTATTTATTCGCCGTTTTCTCATGGCGAGGATTAGTGTGTGTGTGTTTGTCCGTAATTAAAGCGCGCGATTCGTTTTCCGTGCAATGTTGTTATCTATTGGGAAGTTCTCCCCAGCAAACTGGTTTTGGGCATTCATTCTCGAATTTTCGCGTTGTGGATTTCAATGCGTGTGTCCCGTATGGCCATGCAAATTTGTCACTTATGAAATTTCTCGGGAGAAGCCGCGTCTGGCCTCTTTATTGGCGCAAATTCGTTTAACATTGCTGCAGTGCGGGGACCGCACACAATGCAGTTTTTTTTCAAATGCGTTTTGTCGACTCCCGACTGTTCAGAGAATAGCCCAGGATCTCAGCCAGCTGCGGAAGCTTATTTTTTAATTATTCTCCTTTATTAGGAAATGTGTTACAAGCTTAGCGGTTCTCGATGTGTTGCTGACGCTTTACCCATGAGCACACATTTGTAATGCCAATGGAGAAGACTCGTTTTCTCAGGTAAGTGGGGGTTTTGTAATTGGTAATGGGTAGCTGAGCTGGGAAGTTCGACAATTGAAATCACACTGTTGTGCGGAGCGGGCCAGGGCTTGTTAACCCCAGCAGGAGAGCAGACTATGCCTATTAATCACACACACACACACGCGCACACACGCGCACACACGCACACGCACACACGCGCACACACACGCACACACACGCACACACACACACACGGACACACACGCACACACACGCACACACACACACGCACACACACACACACCACACGCACACACACACACGCACACACACACACCACACGCACACACACACGCACACACCCACACACACGCGCACACGCGCGCACACGTGCGCACACGCACGCACACACGCGCTCACGCGCACACGCACACGCACACACACACACGCGCACACGCACACACACGCGCACACACGCACACACACGCACACACACACGCGCCAGCATTTTCATTGGCGAGAAGATTCAAGTTGGTCAGGTTGGGCACAGGAACATTGCCGCTGCAGCATTGTCATTGTGCTTGAGTAATATCCAACTCAAGTGGCTCATGGATTGTGTAGTTTGTGAATATGGATTGCGATGTTGAGCCCACACACCATGGAGTTTTAGAGCCTGAACCTTGCGGAGCCCCTGCCTTGCGCACGGGGACCTTATCATAATAGATGTGGCATGATTTATAATCTCTTGTCACGGAAGTTGAAACAATGGTAAAGTTTCCTAAATGTCACCGTTAGCTTGTGGTGGGCTAAAGCGTGGGCACCTCTTCCGAGATGTCTGGCCGGTGTGGAAGTGTTGGTCACAGTACCCTCGAGCCGAGGCCCTTCCACCAGCGGTGCCGTGAGCAAGGCACTGCAGAGCTTCACCTTTATCTCGTTGTCTAAGGGAATGCATCTCGGCCTCACGGGGTAAAAGCTGCGCCGTGTGTGCACGCAGATACAATTTGCACAGCAAACCTACGAATATTGCATTGGGTTTTTTTTTTTTTGCAACTCCCATTTTAAAATGTTAGTTTAATTCGTGACATAAATGTATTAATTGCCCAGGAAATCTTTGAAACTCCCCTAGCATGCGCTACGTTCTGGGCTTTACTTATTTGGCCTTGAATAATTTTACTTTCAATTTGGCACCTCGGGCCTGCACAAGGAACGCTCACATTTGTTGATAGGAGGGCTCAAGGTTAACGGAAGACCGTGTTTGTAAGTGAAGCCTTGCTCAGAGCAATTCAAATCATACCGCAGTTCACTGCAACCTCAACGCTCATTAACCTTTTGTAAATCAAGCCCGAGCAGGTTTATTCAACAAGCGCGTTTTTTTGTCCAATCAAATTTAATACTGGAATGTTGTAAAATCAATGGCCATATGTGTATTAATATAACTCCATTTTAAGAATAAGGTCCAACTTAATGATGCTAATGCTATTCCCATAATCGAAAAAACATTGTTTAATTCACACATTTCGTGCTAAGTAGGTTTCCGCGGCGATTCTGCGCAGATCTCTGATGAATGTTTGGGTTGTGTCGCTTGTTGTTCAGCACAATATCCGACGTTTCAATCCACATCCTTCTTCAGGACCTTTGGGACGTAACGTCGAACAATTCGCGGTACAACTCAAAACCCCATCATGTGTCATATCAACGTCTCCACTTGGGATACTCCTTAACTTCACCCTTGACAGCAATTAGCATATTCTTTGGTTCTTTCGGTAAAGTCACGTAGTTAGAAAAAATAATAAATAATAAATAAAATTTAGTGATGACGACCGCTTGTGTTGCGATCGAAACGTCGTGATATTTGTATTCACTTTCATTTTTCGTATCTACGTGACTTTACCGAAAGAACCAAAGAATATGAATTCCTGCAGTCACGAAAGTTGTACGTCAACAATGACCATATTCGAGTTACAGCACACGTGTT